AAAAAAAATGAAAGAGAGACGGTAGAAAAAGGAATCACAGAATCAGAAACTTCATACAGCAAGCCATCCCGTATCTAAAAGCCGACCCATTTCCGATCCAGCGGCGACGTTTTTTTTTTTAAACTTCTCACAACATCCGAAGCACTCCGGAACTTGCAGCCGACCCTCTTTTTTTTTCGATAACTCGGCTCCTGCATCGAACTTTCCTTTCATCCATCCATCCCTCCCCTCCATTCATCCCACTACCTGTAATATCAAGCCCCCTTGTAAGACACCTACCTAAACGGCCTGATTTTTACCGTCAAATACCATCTATTGCTTTTTTGGCTGTCACATCCCGTTCTTCTTCTCACCCCCCCCGGCCTTCCCCGCCTCGCGCATCCATGTCCTGCCCCGTATCGGCTAAAGACACCGCCACCACCGCCGGCGCGGCGGGCCGGAAGCGCACCCCCACGGCCTGCGAAGCCTGTCGCGTAGACAAGATTCGCTGCCTTCCGAGCGACGAACCCGGCGTCTGTCAAAAGTAAGCCTTATTTCCCCCTCCAACAAGTCTTAATTACTACCCCTTTTGTTTTCCACCTGTTGCTTTCCCCCCATTCAAAACTAACCGCATGACTTTTTCTTCTTAGATGCCTCATCTCCAAAAAAGAATGCGTCTCCCGGACAGGACCCCGGCGTCGACGCCCCAACCGCTCCATGCTGTCCGTATAATCTCTCCCTTCTTCTTAACCCCCCGTGTACAGGAAACACAAAAAAGAAACTTGTAGCGCTGACTTGAACAAAAAAAAATAGAGCTCCCGGCAATCATCTCCCGCCGCCGCCCAAGCCCAGCGGCACATTCACCATCGACATTCCCCTCTCTCAGCCCTTTGAAACCGCCTCTGCCGCCGCCGCCGCCACCTCCTCGGCCGAATCTCTGCGCCACTCGCATTCAAACTACCTCGACAACTTCTTTCCCGCTTCTGCCAACATTCCATCCCTCCTCCCCTGGTCCGCCGGCAGCCTCTCCGAATCCTCCTGCTCGGCCTCCAGCCCATCCGCCGCCTCCTCCACCACCACCAACACCAACAACACGACCAACACGACCGCCTCCAACACGCGCCCGCGCTTCAACCTCGCCTCTGCCGCCTCGCTGCTCGAATTTTTCCGCGGCATGCTGACGTACTGCCCAGTCATCCTCCTACCCGCCGACGTCACCGTGCGAGACCTCGCCCGCACGCGGCCCTTTGTGCTGCTCGCCATCCTTGCCGCGGCCGCCGGTGCGCGGTCGCTCCAGGGTCACAGCCTCTACGACGACGAGTTTCGGAGAGTCTTTGCCCTGAAGCTCGTGGCCGGCGGCGAGCGCAGCGTCGAGCTGCTGCAGGGCATCTTGATCTACTGTCTCTGGTGCGTTGTTACCTTTGTCCAAGAAGGAAGGGCCGGCCGGGTCCGTGGTGAATCGGGGTGAGGTGAGCCCAAGCTAACTCGTCGAGCCGCAGGTACCCTTTCCATCTCCGGCCGCGCGTGAAGCAAGTCTTTCAGTACACGCGCATGGCCGCCGACCTCGTCCACGATCTTGAGCTCGACGTCAGCTCTGGCCACTTTCCCTCCTCTTCTCCCATGACGCCTGAGCGACTCGACTCGATCCGTGCCTACGTTGCGCAGCACTACCTCTCTTCCTCGTGCGCGACCCCCCCGGCCCCATCTCATACTGCATCTCCCTGTCATGCTCACCATCGACGCAGCTTCTCAGTCACCTGGCAAGCCCACCGCAACCGGAGGGGCCCCGTGCCCTTTACCGCCTGGACCGAGCACTGCTGTGAGCTTCTCATCCAGCACGCCGAGTGCCCGGGCGACGCCGTACTCGCCTGGCTCGCGCGTCTCGGGTGCACCGTCCGGGATGCTTGGGGCGCTGTCCGTGACGCCGCCGGCGGGTCCGATCATAACAGCAGCAGCAACAGTAGCGCACTCTTGTTTCGCGGTCTAGAGGCGCAGTTTCGGGAGCAGCAGGCCAGTCTGCCACCCGCCGTCTCCAACGCCTGTACCAACCCCTCCCCCCCTTCCTCTTCTCGGCACTACTACAACACTACTAATCAAAGAGAAACCAGTACCTATTCGGCTCCAACTCCTCTTTACCGAATTCTTTCTCCTCGGGGGTTCCATCCTCGGTATGCCCACCGCCATCCCTCCACAGCCAATAACATCCTGCTCAACCAACCCTTTCCAACTTTCCTCTGTCCGCCTCACCGCCTGCGTCGGCTACGTCGCTCAGTTCCTCGCCCTGATCCGCAGCCTCCCCTCCACGGAGCTCGCCTGCTTCTCCAACGGCGACTGGGGCCATTTGGTGCTCGCCGTCGTCGTCTCCATGCGCGTCTCGTTTCCGCTGCCGCACGACCCGACGGCGCGCTGCGAATGCGGCTGCTGCCCTGGTCCGGGACTGGACAGCGCCTGGGTCAGAGATCAGCTGAAATTTGCCGAATTTTTGAATTTCATGACCAAAGAGGCGCCGACGGATTTGGCGACGGCGGCCAAGAGAGCAGACATTGTGTCGGCGAGTAAAGTCGTGCTGGCGGTTGTCAAGGAAAAGTACGAGAGGCGCCTTGAATTACTGCAGCAGAAGCAACGACAACAGGAACAGCAGCAACAGCCACATCAGCAACAGGAACAACAACAACAGCAGCAGCAACAGGTGCTGCTGCCGCGTTCGAGATGTCCAATGGTGGACGGCTCGCTGGAAGCATATTTTCCGTTCTGGGATGGGAGCTCCCAGCAGTCGGTGAGCGCGCCGCCGCTCTCATCTGTCGACGACATGGTCCAGGACACCGACGCCTTCATCGACGGCATGGCCCATGGCACCGACGAATCATGGGATACGTGGGCTGAAGAAATGCTCGACTGGGTCGATGCAAGTAAATTCATGCAATGATACACAACCCCCCTCCGCTACAGTCATCTAACACATCAGCTTCATTTGAACCAGAGTAAACGCACACTTGTATCTTGTACTAGCTAGGAGACAGACAAAGTAATAAGACACGAAAAAGAAATGAGAAAAAGAGCCCCCCCCCACCGAAAGAAATCATTGCAACCACCCAGAGATCCCGAGTCCATGCCCCAATCTCCAATACAAAAAAATCGCTCCAAAAAAAACACTGTTCCTTAAACCAATCTGCGCTAGGCTGTTCATGCCAATTGTCAAAGGAGGAAAATTCACGAGCTTCCGTTAAAGGTCAAGTACCACATCAGAAATGAATCAACAAGTAAAACAAAAACAAAACAGACAGACAGACAGACATACGACTTTGCAGACGACTCACTCGGTGCGCTCAAGAGTCCTCGCCCAGATGCAAGGGTGATCTCGAGATATGCGGAGATGAGGGGGAATCAGAAATTTGAAAAGAACAACAAAAAGCAAACAGGGCACATAAAACAGAAGTCAAAGGAAAGAAAAAAGGCAATTATAATAGACGACGATAATCAAGAAAGAATCAAAAAGAAGAAAAAGTGACAAGGATCAACAACAGAGCCACCCAGAATACAAAAGTTGGATCTCCAGAGATCGCAAATGCCTTCAATGAAAAAAGAGCGGGAAATAAAAAAGAGGAGAAACAAACCAAGAGACTTGGCAACGCCGTGCCTGCTTCACTGCCCAAAAAAGAAAAAAGTCCCCGAGAACCTTGTAATGCTTTGAACATGAAAAAGACTGTCCCTCAAACACCGATTTTCAATGTGAAAACCCATCAACAAGAAAAAAAAAAAGCAACGGCCAAAGGCGTCTTGTTTTCTTCAAGGGACAACACGATTGCGCATGCTAGAACCCCTGCCAATGCTCCGTAATCCGCATTGTCCTTTTTTGTATAACCTGAATCCGAACGACGCCATCAGAACCCCAGCTGAACGGAAACCGAATTTTGTTCTGCTCAAGTATCAAAAGAAAAAATAACAAGAAAAACAAAACATCATCCTCTTCTTCTCCGTCTTCTCATCTAGTCGTGCAACGACAAGAACCCCCAGAAAAGTTTTGCCAAGGGTTCGCGAAACCGGCCGCAGAATTAGAAGAGTAGTAATTAAGGCTGCGCAAAATCGCCCGAGTCATGCGTCACAGACTCCAATCCTTTCGTTTAGATGGCCATTCATCTTTGTATGCAAGTATACCGAGGCTCGAGTCCCCGAATTGGTACGAAAAATAAGCCATATGCGCCTGTATCATGTTGAACCGTCCTATACTCCTGGTTGTGCCCATCGCCTTGTGCGGGTAGGACGCCTTTCGAGAGGCGAGGCTCGTTCGTGGCGCTGATGCCGGTATCCGTATAATAAAGTTTGAAATCAAGAGATGCTCCAAAATCATGCGTCGAGTTTTTTTTTCTTTTTTTTTAATAGCTGGACCGACAGTCCAACTTTGGTCATTTGTTCGTGTCTTGCAAGATGCCGACATGCGTTAAGCATTCAGTACATGCTGCTCAGCTGCTGAATTCGAAAAGCAATGAATCAAGTAGTTGGATATCATTCTCATGCTGGTCGCAAAGTGCCGTGGTATAAGTGGACCAGTGGTATGCCAATGCGACAAAAAGTATCTGTGTAAATGCTCAACTGAAGACTGCACATGCCATCATGTGAGTATAATTTGTGCGCCGCATGGTCAGGTCTAACGGCCCATCATATGGTGAGGCATAAAGTTATTTGAATGAGAGTGTCCATTGGAACCACCAGCAACAGCACCACTAGAGTAGGAGGGTGTGTTCCATGGGTTGTTACTGGCTGTAGGGAAGCCGGAGAAGACATATTGCTGTCTCTGGTTGCTGCTCCCGCCGACGCTGTTGGTGCTAAAGTGGGATCGTCCACTACCTAGACCAGGAGGTGCGGACAGACCGGGAGGCGGACCGCTGGCGCTATAGCCATTGGCCGGCCCGCTGCTCATGCCGTTGGCATTGGGCATCTGCATAGACGCCGGCTGGGTCGGGACCTGGCCGGAGCGGACTCCGAGTGGATTCTTGGAGAAGCTCAAACGAATGCCACCCTTAGTGCTATTGTGCAGAGGCGTGCCGTAGAGGTCGTGGAGAGCCTTGGTCGCAAAGGTGATGTCTTCAAACTCGACAAAGCACATGGGGCCATTCTGCTTGGTGCGGAAACATAGACGTTTGTAGCCGCGCTGCTTGCAAAACACAGCCTTGAGCTCCTCCTCGGACGTGTCGATGGGTAAATTACCGACATAAAGTGTGTTACACGGCGGGTTCTGGTCGGCCGGATTCACGGGAGGAAAGTTGTGATGCGGAAAGTGCGGGCCAGGAGTAGAATGAAAATTCATGCTGGGCCCATTACTAGCAGGCGCGTTGCCGACGGGAGAAAGTGAGTTCATATGGTGCGGCCCCAGTGAGGAAGGACCTGGGGGAGCGCTGGTCTTTAGACTGAGGCTGGCCATGTGACTGACTGGAACCTGGGGTGCGGTGGCGCGCCGGCCGAATGAGTTGCCGTGGGCGCTGTTATTCTGAGCATACGCAACAGGATCCTTCAAGAGGTTGCTGGTATCATCGTCATCGTTGTAGTCGCCAGTAATGAGAGACTTGCTCGAAACGTGGCTCCGATCAGAGACGTTGAGGTGATGTCCGATTGGTGACTGTGGGTAGAAGATGGCTTGATAATTTTCGCCAGGAACAAACTCTCGTCCAGGGAACATGCTAGTAGGAGAAATCCTGTCGAGGGTGTGGAAAGGATTTGCAAACTGGGGCTGCTGGCGGGCAGAGGGACCACCAGGCGCAGCCGAGGTGGGAATCTGGCCGTTTGTTCCATTCTGAGGCCCGTCGTTGTGGCGGCGGCCGCTGGTGACGCTGGGGCTGAGGATCTCAACGATCATTTCGGCATCGTTGGAAATGTTGGAGCGGCCATCGAGCATGTTCTTGGCTTCAATGGCGCCATTCATAGTCTTAAAGCGGAGGAGGGCGGAGCGAAAGCCCTCGTCTTCCGATTTTTCGGCAGACAGCAGCTCGATATCGGTGAGCTCTTGCGACCAGACCAACATGAGTCGAATGGTTTCTTCCGAGGAGCTGAGAGGGAGGCGACGAAGTAGGACGCGGATCACGGACGGCGCGGGGGAGTTTGAGAAGGGAGTGCCGACGGGGTTGGTGACGCCGCGGTCGGCGGATTTTCCTTTACCATTCATGATGAAGGGGCGCGATATTTGGCCCGAGTTGGCGGGCCGGAAAGCGTGTGATGAGTTGGGATAGGCGGTAGCGGCCATAGAGTCGGTATCTGCGCCTGAAGATGGCAAAAAGGGAGTCGAACGGTTTGACTGCAAGGGTTTTGCGGACGCGCTAGTGGAGCCAACTGGAGGTTGAGTTGGCGATAATTTGCGGCCAGTGTTCATCGCCCGGAGATCAAGTACATGCGCTCGGACAGAAAAAGGGTGCCCAAGTAGTAGGGATGCTGCTGCAGGACAGAGGCACGACGATATGCAGTCGTAAATCGAGAGGGCAGTTGCGCTGACGCGGGTTCGTCGCTCGGGTACAGGGGTACTGTCGCAAATGGCGCTGGAAAAGTCACGACGAGGCGGTGACGTCGCAGACGGTGTCGCTTGGGTAGCGCAATAAAAGAACGAGTTTGTTGAGCGGCGCAAAATGACTATATAATAGAACTAGTGACGCGACAGTTGTTGCGCAGATGAGGCCTGACGAGTATGCACTTGCGACGAGCAAACGGGATCGTGAAGATAAGATGGGTCGCGGGGGCGTTTGTGTGGCGCGCGGAGTTGATGGCAGACGTAGGTTGACCTGAAAATATTGCTGATCGCGCCGGAGTCTGGTAGCAATATTTGAAAATATCGAGGCGGCGAGGAAATCGCGTCTGGAGCGGTGGCGTACGTTGTCGCGAGTTGCGTGAAAGGATGCACGGTCGGCGAAGGGACACAGCGCGATGAGCAGGCAACGGCGCAGGGGGGTGAAAATTGCTCTGGAGATGGCGAAAAGAATGCAGAGAGGGGGATGGCAGATGCGGAAGTTATGTGAATGAGGAAAAACAAGAACACGTTAGTCGGCGACGGGGTGGCCAAAATGATTGTTTGGGGATGCAGAAGGTAGAGAGGATGAATGGCGGCAAGATGGCTGAGATGGCAGGAGCAAAAGAGTCGCGCCACAGGAAAGCCAGCAGGGCGACGAGCATAGGCGGCGGCGACGGCGGCGTCGGACAGCGGGTACTTGAAGTCTGGTGGCTCCATGCAAGCAGCACCGGGTACTCGTGTCTTGCGTCTGTCTGGTCTTGGGTCCTTCTTGGGGTGGGTGGGCGCAGTCCGGTCCGAGTAACCACATTAGAGGATTAGAGGATGCCACCACCAAGGACCGTCTGTTCGCAAAAATAGGTACCAGCTTGACAGCCACTGACCCTTCCTTTCTCTTCACTTCCTATCTTCTCGCAAGTGGCTCCATGACTCCAAAGGCGGCGGGCAGGCGGCCTGTCCTCGTCCCTCCCACCCCGTCCTCCTCCGCGGTCCCGGTACCAGATTCTGGGCACATGCGCTACCACCACACCACACCTTCTCGTTGTTGCTCCATCTTTTCTGTCTTCCCTCGTCGCTTCTCAGCTCTCTCACTCGCTCGCGCACAACAGCCGATGGATCCCATTCGAAGCTTATCCTGGTCGGGACTGGAGCCTGCTCGCAGCGGCAGGGCGTGTCCTAGTTGTCAAACAACCAAAGTGCGTCCACACATCTTCCATCTCCCACACCACTCGCTAGTCCAGGGGCGTCGGGTCCGTACTTAACATTAGTAGATGACCCATGGCCCTCGCTTTTGATTTTCGTCCATTGCGATTCCCACATGGCTGTCGCTTGCGGCCCTCGATCGCTCGCCCATCGCCATACGAGACCCTCTCTCCTCACTAAATAAGCGCGACAACAAAGCTTCTTGGTGGCTGGTCTTTTTTTTCTCTTTCTTTTAGATCTGATGAAAAAGCTTGTGCTGTGACCTAGGGCAAGGCGAAGGCGCGCCCCGACAAGAGAGCCAATATACTCCGTGATTTTCCTCGCTTCCCGCCTTGTGTCACCAATTATAGGCGATACTGCCTCGGTCTGCAGCTAAAATGATCCGCCTTGCAGAGCTGTAGCACTTGACATCGAGCCAATCACGCCTTGATAATACTGTGTGACTTCCTCTCTCGTCGGACTATTAGCTAGGCGCGTATGCTCATTGTTGTCTTGTCAATGTCCATCCAGGTGCTATTCATCAGTCGTCTTTGCCAACACGGATCCAACACTGCGTTAGTAGCAAGGGTTAGAGTTTAGCCATAGAATCAAATATCCCTGATCTCACGTCCCTCTCCTCTTGATATACAGCCACCAGCTGGTCCAAAAAATCGCAAAATTGAAGCATTATATCATACCAAAATCAACCACTGCCCACTGCGCAAACTGCTTCACCGAGCCTGTCTTTGGACTTGGTTAATCACATTGCAATTCGAGGGTGTACATCTATTGACAGGGCGTCTTGAAAGCGGCCGAAACAGGCTAGCAACAGAGGGTGTACGCATCAAGACCATGCTTTTTCTAATCCGGCCAATCGGAGGCTGAGCGCATTGGGTGGTCCAAAAGTCAAAGTCGAGGGGGCAGTGAACAACTTGACAGCGTACTTCGTAGGGCCAAATGCTAAAATTGCGGCAGACCTTGTGACGCTCGCGGCCCGCTATTTTCTCTCAGGCTTGCGTTTTCAAATGGCGTTTCTTCTTTCGAGGCCATCCATACCATTGCCGACGTGTTTTCGCGGCGTGCTCACGTTGTTGCGCGTCTGTCCCGTAGAGTCGTGTCAGCATCTGGTGTTGTGGTACGGAGTAGTATCGTCAAGTGCCAATCTTTTAAACAATCTCTTCTCCCTTTTCTTTGTCAGTGGGGTGCTTTTGTTTATCGTCTTCTTCTTCTCTCCCTTATCTGGCACTTTTCCCAAGTTGCCCTTGCTTCCACCAGCATTTCCAGAGGGTTTGTACTCCCTTTGGCCCTGTGTTGACCCCTCCGGTTTGTCTTTCCCTTGACAGATAAATCGTGCCGCGCCATGCCCCAAAATATCGCGCTTTGTTGGTTACCCAGCAGGGCCAGATGGGCAAGAATGGAGGAAACCTTAGCGTCATGGCTTGTGGGGGATCGATCCGCTAACGCAACCAGCGCACTGCAGCCGGCAGGCGTGCGCGAGGTGTGGCATGGCGGCGCATGTATCGCAGGTAACGAGGTTGTGGTGGTGCCCTTCACTGCTGCAAACAGCCCACCGCGGGGTTCATGGCAGGCTCTCGCCTGCATCCGCGCAACGGCGCTCCAATACGAATTATGATCTGCACCAGGTCAGCAACTGGTGTTACTTCGTAGGATCATTGTCGCCATTCGCTGTCGGCTTGATAAGAAAGGGTGCACTGAACGCTGATATTTGCGCCAGCCGCACTGCCGTCTAGAGTGACTGTCTTCGCCCATATTCAAATAGCCTTGGACATACAGCATGTCGGTTCTCGTTTTCAACTACCTGCTTCCTGAGACGCCGCCGTAGTGTAGTAGTTTGCCAATGAGATTGCCCCAACCGACGTTGGGGCTCATGACCTGTCGCCTACCGTCTGATGCTATTCCGCCTCTGCGTCACCACAAATCGAAGTTTCACGGCAATTTCCGATTCGACCCTACTCCGCGACTTGTTGCCTGTGCATACTTCGCCGACTCATGGTCGGTTTCTTGTCGCACGCTCACGGTCGTATGCTTGTAGTAGTATGCCATACCGCCCTGCGTCTCGTCCATCTTCGCGTTGGCGCCTGTACTCTTCTCGTAGCATTCAATCATTGGGCCGTGGATTCATTGTTAGCATGTGCAATCCTGAGTCATCTCTCATCCGTATTCTGTTCTGCGTCTTACAACCCCCCTTGTGAAAACCCAGCCGCATGGTTCCGAGCACGCAACGACATGCATTGAAAAAGCCTCCCCAAGGCCCACCACCATGCCGGCAGTTTTTTTTCCCCTGAAACGGCACCAAATTATCACCTCTCCCCTGCACACACTTGCAGGTGGACGATTTGACAACGCCTGACTTGGCATGGGATGCAGGATGATGCTGACACGGAGGGCCATTTCGAGGCGGAGAAGGATGGACCAAGCGGGTTCTCTGAACTCTTCCGCCGCCCGCGCTACCCGTTTGTGATGGCCCCTCTTTGTTGACGCAGATTGGCGAGACTGTTTATCTTGGGACAGTGAATCGCTGCTGTCTTGAATTTGGAATGCTTGCTAGTTTGTGGAGGGGAACCAGGCAACCAGGCCAGGACGGGTTGGCTCAAGGTGGTTGTCCTGTGCTGTGGCTTCTCGGCACTCGTCCACACCAAACAGCGAAACCTCTGCCAGCTGGCAGGACGCATCCCACCATGACGTGCTTCCATCGCTGTGCATAATGCTCTCGCTTCGAAGCGCGACATGGACCTTTTATCTATATACAGAACACAGTTCACTACAATCAGTCAAAGAGGTTCAACTGCCTCGCTTGTCGAAACCATTTCCATTTCTCAAAGAGCGCCGCGACGCCGAGTCACAACGCCCTCCCCTGCCTGGTTAATACCAGTTCATCCGCGCTCTTCAAATCTACGACTATAACCTTCTTGCCATCCGCTAGACGAAAGTTGACCAGATTTCAAGGCATCGTATCCGATGCCCAAACTCAACATCGGGCGGTAGGCTGTTCGAGTGCTGGCCTCGGAAACTTTTCCGTGCCTAGTAAAGACGGATTATGATACAACTCAACGCCCGGTGCGGCTGAGCAGGAACGCTCGCGTATCATTGCCATCGTGGCAACGCGACTCACCCAGCAGAGGAGCAGTGTCTGCTTTGGGGCGTCTCGAACCGGCCGCACATGAACTGCTCAAAAGTGAAAATGGGCGGCAGGTACCAAGAGAAGCATAAATGCCATGACCTGAAGTCTCCTCCATGAACAGATGGTTGTGATCAGCGGGCGCATACATTGAGCTGGCAGACTGCGATGCAGGTACGCGCTCAGGACATTTGAATACCTTTGTCCGACTACTTCTGAGGAAGACGATAGCCCTTAGTCGTTCTGTGTAAGTTGTCAAGCTATCATTTTCGGTAAACGTACTTGGTGCGATACACAACTTGTCCGCCTTCCCCTTGCTACGGAGACAGACACATGCCACGGATTCTGGGTTTGTGTCGCGTTTTCTTGCAGGCGACACCTTCACCCAGAAGCAACTTTCAGGATCTCTGCGCCACTGAAATCAAGTATGGACTGATTAGTACTGCCCTGGCGGCGGACCGAAACTTGTTTGCGCCGCAGCAGGTCTTATGCTGTGTCATCACAGACAAGGCAACGGCCTGAATTTCCGACTCGTCATAAAGTGATTAGGACATGGAGCGAAAATAAATTGACGGGGGAAGAACTTTTAGGGGGGATGACACATTTGGAGTTTTCAATATCTGGTTTGGAAGCGAGAGGTCGATAGATCCGGATATATGAGGCCCGGTCTGAAGTCCCCTATCACATGTCCTCTCCCACGCGCCACTGATGTGTAGATAACTTCACTCGCCCATCGGTTATTTCAAGCACATCATAGTGGCTTCTTCTACAGCTCCGCCACCTTCCACGCCCACCACTACGGTCCGGCATGTACATCCGCGACACCCTCACCGTTTCTTTGCCCTCCTGCATGGCGTCAAATGACCCGGATCGCCCATGACTTGCAGCTCTTCCGAGTGACCCGTCCTGCGAGCGCTGCGCACCGAAAGGAACACCGCTGGGTCGCCCTATTTACCTTGCCAAGCGCAACCCCCCCGCCTCCCTTCCCTTGCCCAGCCTTTTCCTTCAGCTGTGCGTGCGCAGAGCCTCGCCGTTCTCCCCTTTTCCGCCGTTCCCCGACAGTCGCACAGCTTCTACCAAATCCTTGCAGGCTCATGCACGTCTCTCACGCACGTCTCCTCGTGGCTGGTCTGCCAATCTGCGCCTCGGGAGGCAAAGCTGACCGCCGATAGTCTCAGTTACAACATTGAAGACAGAGAAAATGATATAAATGCTATCGTAATTTCATAGTATGTTTGAGTATGTGTTTTTAAGAAGAACAGGTGCTCAAGCCATATATCTATTGCTTCTGGAAGCGAGTTTGACTCTCTGTGCCTGCGGTATGTTTTGCCCCTTCAGTGGATTGGTGGTTGCATGCCAGGCCGTTCGAAATTACTATGTGCCGCCGACGTCATGCAGATTCACTGCAGCCGAGAACGGTTCGGCTCACCGAGGCTGCATGCAGGTAAGCTGCTCCTGAAACGTGATCCACGAGTATGAGCAAACATGAGCTTTCCTAAAACAGGTGAATTAAAAGGGCGTGGCATTAAATACAGAACTCATGATACAAAAACGGGTGTCACGCCTTGGCCCGCTATACCTCTTGCTTTTCACCGAATCGACTGGACAAAAAGAAAGTGTCGATAACAAGGCCAGAACCTTGAGCAATGATGGGTATATAAAGATGGTCGAGCCCGTTCGAAAAACTGCAAGACGAAACGAAACCTCTCGGATATATTTGAACGCCTAAACGCCTCGCGTGTCCTTATACAAGCGTCCAGGTATCGCACTCCTTCGATATCCAGTAATATATGTGCTTACCGTGCTCATCCTCTCGTATCAACGTCGTACTAGACACCCCAAAACCGAGTAGCAGCGCTCGCTATTGCTCGATCAAGGCGAATTGCCATGGTTTTGATAGCTGCACTCAGAGAAAGAAACCCGCTCTTCGACTGATATGCCAAGTATATGCACTGCACAGTCAGACGACATCACTGTCGTTAATGTCAACGGAGAGGCACTTCTCATAGAATCACGCACCGCGGGTGACCATGTTCGCGGAAACGCAGCCTGCGGCGTCGTTTGTGCCCGCTTTTGGCAGAGTCATACTTGTAACCATCGTCTGCATCACCAGCGCCGAGATAGTCGTCATCCTTCCGCAGCATTTGTCGGGAGAGATCGATGAATACTTCATCAACATTGGCTGATCTGTATTAGTAGATATTCGTACGGAAATGTGCATTGACATACTGCGAGTTCTGGCGCTTGCTTCGTAGTATGGCGCACCCCATCGCTGTGATATCGAGAATCCCTTGGCGCGCGGAACAGCACGGCTGTCTTCCAAGTCCGCTTTGTTACCAACAATTACCATGGGAATATTCTCATCATCCTTGATGCGTATTATCTCCTCTCGCAAACCCGCAAGTTCGCTCAAAGACGACGGCGATGTGATGCTAAAGACCAGCAAGAACCCTTGACCCGTCTTCATATATAAGTCACGCATTGCGACTGTGGTCCGTTAGTTACGAATCGAACATCGAGATGAAGACTGCGTACCAAACTGCTCGGTTCCGGCAGTGTCAAGTCTAATCTAGGTCAGCTTACGAGCTTTAGAGCATTTCGATGACCGTAGCTCTCTCACATTTCCAAGACGACTTGACGGCCCTGTAGAAAGGTTAGCGCAGGAAGAAGAGATAGGAAATGTCGGCTTACGTCAACTTGTATTTGCGTGCGGTAGGAATCTTCGATTGTAGGGTCGTAGCTCTCAATCCATTCATTATGTACAAATTGGGCTATGGATGTGTTAGGCGGATGTTTCATCGTAGACGCTCTCTAGTAGTTTCATACCAGTCAAGCAGCTCTTTCCAACGCCGCCTGCGCATGGATGTTAGTCGAAATTACACCATAAAAAGGTGAAAGAGAGGCGGGTGGTACGAACCAGCTCCGAGAACCACAACATGGAGCTCTCGGCTACTAAAGGATCAGCCACGACTCCGATTGAACTGGATGATGAAGGGATTGAGCCCGCGCACATACTTTGTGGAGTAATTGAATCGCCCCATGGCAATTTGAGAGTTTGTTTGGACAATTTATGGGCGCAGTGATGGGTGATGGCAAAGCAAAGAAGAAGCGTGTTGACGATAGAGCCAAGAATGAGCGGCGACCGGCGGATGTGCGCAGATCGGGCAGCTGGTGGCGGCGACCGAAACTGAATATATGACGAGTGGACGTGATTGGCAGGGCGGAGACGGAACGGGATCCGGATCACAAAAAGGCGTCGGCCGAAAATGCGCAAAGTGCTCCAGAATCTGAATCAATCAGTATAGAGCAAAAGGATGTTCAGCTGCAGGAGCTGTCGTTGCTGAGGGGCGGTGTGAGAGGGGCAGATGTGGGTGTGGTATGGTGGTGCCGTGGTGGTGGTAGTCGTCGGTGGTTGTCGGCCGAGAGGATGCAAGTCTGTTAGCGGACTCGCTCGGGAGAGAGTGCCTCGCGGATCAGTCTCGAGGCAGAAAAGCCGCAGTTGCGAGCAGGGAGCTCGTCGACCTTGATCAAGGGCCAGGGTGGCGGAAATGTGAAAATGTCTTTTTCGTGCGTGGGTAAGGAAAACGTGCTTGAGGTGTGGCCAAAGCTGGCACCCAGGATTGTTGTAGTCAGCGCGCGACGCTAGAAAGGTGGGTTGGAAGAAGTTTTGACGTCCAGCCGTCTCTCGCTTGTATCTTTTGTCCCTTTCCTCGCTCTCAGGAGATATGTTGGCGTATCAGACCGAGGAGTTCGAAGTGTCGAGCGACACAGGAACCCACAACCAGGGGCCGTCTCCAATCGTGCTGTCCCGGTCTTGGGTTCGGAGCGGCGCGCAGCAACTAGCGAGAACAAACTAGCAAGTAATATCGGCCAGGTAGATGCAAGGAATAGCGAACCACTAGAATTGGGCTGGTAATGATTTTGAATGGTCGAGCCAGGTAGCTGGAGCTGAGCTGGAGCTGAGCTGGAGCTCTGGCAAGGAGCTTGCTCGAAGAAGCAGTAGCGGGGTGGGGTGAAAGGGGGGTGGCTTTGGAGCTGGAGGGGACCAAACGTGTCGTCGAATTTGCTGCAGCGGTATCAAGCCCTATTTGGTCTCTTCTGTGGCAGAAAAAGGAGCTTCTGTTGGTGGCACGCGTTTGGGAGTATGGCGTGAGATGCGTGGGTGGGCAGGACAACCGGCACGTATCAGACACTGCTCCTAGCTGTTAGGTGGCGTTGGGTGATGCAAATGGACTTTTGAAGCAAAGCGTACCCGATTTTCCGGTGTCTGAATGAAGAAGAAGAGGAAGGAAATAGGTCTTTTTCTGATGGAAAGCAGAACAAGAAATAGATGAAGTTAGGCGGATCGGAATGCAAAGAGGCGGCGAGAAAAGGCGTGGAGGAGCTGGTGGTGGTTGAATAACTGGAGCCGGGGATACAAGCTGGTGACCTGCGAGCAGAGGCGTTGCGGGTGTTAGCGCTAGTACTCGGCAGGTACAGAGCGAGGCGTTTGCACAGGGCAGCAGGCAAGCGGGCGGCGTTTGTCAGCTCATGGCAAGGAGAGAGGTGTCAAGGTAGGTATGCAGCGCGAGCAACAACCAAGCAAAGGGTTAATAAATAGTACAGCAACCAAAATAACAAGATGCCTCTAGCTGAGACGCGAGGCTTACTTTGACTGGAGATTTGGGTATAAGTGGTCAGGCGGGGCGTATTAATTTCAGAGGTGTATCAGTGGCAGGTTGAGCTGGGATATGGCCGGGCTTTATTTGATTCCAAAGCTTGCTGGTTGAAACAAGGTCGCAATGCTCCCTTTATTGTTTCGAGAGGTAGACGAATAACGTCATTTACAAAAGTAGTTGATGTGCCAGTTGCCCTGTTTGAAACGGGTGCCTGCTCCATCAAGTCATGTGAAGGGCCGTAACCGGCTTTGGCTGTGATACCTTTGCGAGGCTGAACGCTTCATCACCAACCAGTCCCTTACACAGCAGACGTGAGAGGGAAAGTCTGGTATTCACTTCCGGTGGCTGCCCGTCTCGTGTAAAAACAGGAAAGACAAAAACAAAAATAAAAAAGCCTTGATATGCAGGGCAGCAGAGTCGAGCAATTGGGTTGGCCGTCCAGCCCCATACGGCGTGAACCAGAAGTGGCCAAGCCCAGTCCCTACAAAGAAAAACGTGCTCATCAATGCATCATCAGGCCAGGAATATGAGCGATTAGAAAACCCTTGTAAACTTCTCTTCATACGAGTTTTTTTTTTAATTTTTTTTTTTAACCTTGTCCTGAATTTATGCTTTTGCTTCTCCTCAAATTCGACACTGTCCGTGCGTGTCCAATATCTATACTATAACCAGGCTGCTATAACGGTGCCCGAAACCCCCATATTACCCGTTAGGCTCGCATCCTCGTCTTTAGATTGAATGCGTAGCTGGACAGGGATTCACACGTTTCGTCTCCAGCTTTTTTTTTTCTTTGGCAGTTTTCTGTCCTGGGGATGTTAGTTATACGTGGGATGGCCACATGGGTTCAGGGTTTAGGGGTCGAGACGTGTAAACAAGTCGCCAGTAATCGGGCGTCGGTTTGCAACGCGCCTACACGGGGAGAATGGATGCTCCGGAAAACTGACTGAAAGTGACGTGGCGAGTCTGGTCATTCTCTGTGTCTATATAGCTCACCGTTGATGCTGGCTCTCGGAGGGGCGCCGGTTGGTTACTGCGTTTCCTTGGGAGCATTCTCCTCGGATGTCGCGATGGTTGCACCGAGTTCATCTTGCAGGAGAAAGGACCGGGAAAAAGACAAAAAGCTACCTCCGTCGGAGCCCCTGTCAGGTCCGGTTTTAGTGCGACCCCTGCCGTCCTGCTTCCGCCCCGTCTTCTCGCCTTTCCTTCCCGGCTTCCCATATTGCCTAATTTGCGTGTGCCGTTTTGGGTAGCAATCGAAGAGGATTCCTGCTGCCTGATTATCAAAGTCAGTCGGCCCGCCTCTAACAATTTGAATATAGGCCCCATGCCCGGCTACCGCTGCAACTGCACGTAACACCACCCGCCCCCGGCTTTTGTTTTCGCGATGAAATACAGGACCGCCTTCTGGTGCGTGCACACCCTGCTAAACCATCAGCAAATCGCTCAAAAAGTGAGAATCAGGAACGAGTTAGCTGGCGCAAGGCTCTGGCGTACCTTTATCAGCGGCGCAGCCTGCCCTGTCCCCATGTCTGACTTCTCACCATGGTCGTTCCTCTGTTGCCTGTTCCTCAAACAGTGTATACTTTCCAGGTCTACGCGCCAAGATCTACGCTCTTCATCTCCGCCCAGAATTTCCAATGAAAAGAGGCAAGCGGTTCGAGAAAGGGGCGCTGTGGTGCCCTTTCCTTAAAACAACTCCACCAGTCTCCAATAAACTCGTATTATTTACACATTGCTTGCTTGCCCATATGTACCTGCAGCTCCAGATCGAAGCGATTGTTCCGTGGGGCAGCCCGGCAGCGGCATCTTTGCCGAGCGTAAGGCACGATGGGGGATCCGGACACGCAATGGAACGTATCTCGACCCCAGCTTGCTGTTGCCAGGACACGTCCCTATGTCTTGCTGCTGCCTGCAACCATCGTGCCATTCTTCTCACCATAACATTCATGTCTCGTCTCATTTCAAATTAACAATGCACAATGACCGATTGCAAAATGCGCAGTTTGTCTATCCTAGGCCCCGCAGAGTTCCGGACACGATTTTTCCCCGTCTCTGCCGACCCAAACGGTCGGCGTTTTGCCGCAACCTTGATTGGTCCAGCGGAAGAAGGCGTTGAGGAAACAGGCAAGACCGTGACGTAGTAGCGCCACCATCGCGTCGTCCCGTTCAATCGAGCGCGACCCGGCCTTGGGACACAGACTGACTGCATGTACCACATCCCCCGCACCAAGCACCAATGGCCATGACTGAAAGTACTTGACGCGTCTGCGTTCGTTCTCGGCTGTAATTCTTCATGACTCGACTATGAAAGAAACAATGCCGGAGCATGGCCCCCGTTACACCCCGTTGACTAGTTGGCTAGCAGGCTGGCGGGCCTTCGCATCATACTCCACGTATTCAAATGCGTGACTCGTCTTTAACACCCTACCATCGAATACGTCACTGATCCGAAGGCGTATCAATCTGGTGCCGAGCCTAGACCACGAATTCTGGCACGAGCCATGCAAGTGCTTCGATGCCTCATCTTCAGATTGGCGGTAGGCGAGTACCGCTGCTTTGCGCTTGCGTCGTCGCTTCGCTTGGAAGTATAAGCTGTTAAGAGAATTGCGACGCAGTCTACTCCGTAGCTCATACCTACGGCAGAAGCCGCATCGGGGCACGCGGGGATATGTTCTACGCAGTGGGCGACCCACTGCGTGGAGATGAAGCGCATCGGTCTGCCTCTCGGAATCGGAGGACTCAATTCGAAAAGGTGGCTGGGGATCGGCACATTGTGTCTGGCGCCAAGTTCGTGCGTATCCGTCTTTATATATATCATATAGCTACGAATCATGTTGCGGATGGAGCAAGTATGGGGTGAGTAATAAGCGAGTAGGAACCGGTACAGGATTATTCCACAGGCACCGCCAGTGTGCTTGTCAGCATCCAACAGTTTGTTAGGTAGCGGGGAGTCGCTTTAACGGTTAACTGATCACAGAAGAGCAGAGATCAGAAACAAACACAGCTTTGTCTTAGAAAAACGGCACATTGCTGGATATCTTAAAGGAACGCTTGCAATGCTCTGCGCGTGGTACCACAAGACATTCGCTGTCGAGGTCTGTAATGCATAATACAGCCCTTTGAACCAACAAAGGATTCAATATAATGAAAATCAAAGCCATCATACTTCGTACTCCGTCCAAGGGGTCATACGATAAGGGTGAAGCCGCTAGTCACGACTCATTACCCACCAGGCAAAAGCAGCGAGGCCCCCAAAGAACGTCACACAAAATAGAATGACCTTGAAATATTTGTATCCTTCATTATACACGTGTTCCTAATCAGTATTGGTCCGGATGTGATCACACTCATTGTTTACACGCCTCAGCGCCGACGAGACACGGTCGGTGATGTGGCCGATGGCGTTACGACCCATCGTCGTCATGGGGATCGCCTCCTGCGGTGGCTGTCGGCGTCTCCACGGCCACAACTAGTTTGACGTCCGAGAATTGACATGTCGGACATCGTCCTCGCTAAGAAGGTATGCGGTGTCTTCTTCTGGCTGGTACGTCGGCGGTGGCGGAACGAGCCCGTCAAACTGCGAAGATACGTCGTCCAAAAGCCCGGAGGCGGATGCACCGTCGATGACTCCCGAAGTCTGCGCTGTCCGCTCACCGGCAGAGGGCAAATCGCCCATACGTGAAATACAGCATGAATACGGATTGGCTGAGTTCTGGATTTGGTGAGATGCCAGCCTTACCGAGGAGTCGGTAAACGATGAGTGACCCGCCACTGGCCTGTTATCCGAGTCGGTATAGGCGGCTGCATCCGGCAAGTCGTGTGACGGATGGCTATTCAGCTGGTCGCTCGTTACTTGGGAATCCAGCGAGTCGGCAAGATCCATGTTGGCTAAAGAATTGATGATATGCCAATTGGCTCAGAGGCGATTGGCATACAAGCCTAGAGTTAGTGAGCAAGTCGTGCAGTATCTCTCAAAGCGCGACCTGGCGAGCAAGTGGGTGATAGAGCTGGAAGCGATGGTGCAAAATATGAAATAAAAAGAAGCTTGTAACAGAGCAATGTCGAAAATATCAGTTGGCGATCATGGATATGCTATGCACCCGGCGTCATGACAATCTGGCGTGTGGAAGTAATGATACGACGCTGCGTGGGGAAGAGGCGGGTTGGTGTAAGACGGCGAAGCAAATCATCAACAGATCCCAGATTAACTCTGTAAAAGATGCGGCAGATTCAAGATTTTATTTTCTTTTAGTGCAGTTGCCTACTCGAGGTTGCTAAAGAAGAGAAATTGGACAAGACGGGCGTCGAAGGAGGAGACGGCAAGAGGGATGGATATAGGCGGCAGCTGTACATGCAGGCGCAGACAGCAAGCTGGCTGTAAGCAAAACCGAAAACCAGACCCTTGACAACTGCAGGAGCGAGGTAATGTCATAAGCCAGCAACAACAGCCTATTGGACTACATGTGGCAGCATGGGCAGCCCGTTGCATTGCTACGCTGTAATATTTGAGTTAATAGTCGGAGACAAAAAGGAGACGAGGTTTGCGAGGGCCAGACGAGTTATACTGGCCGCAACAGTGCACGGCCCAATCGGAAAAGGACAGGGCCGAAAGCCAGTCCGGCCGGCCGAAAGCCTTGACAGCTGACAGCTTTTTGACTGTGCAAACGGCTGCAGCTGTCACTCGGAAAGGACAAACGCAGCCCACCTTCTTTTACTTTTTCTCCTCACTCATCGACATCAAATCTTCTCCAATTCCGAGGTTTCTTATCTCCAGATCCCGCTCGTCTTACCTGCTGACTTGAATTCCGCTTCTACGCCTCCACCTTGTTCAAGGCTGACTGTATTTTGCACCAAATACAACAACAGCTGCAGGTATTCGGCCATTTATTCCGGCTTTCTACCACGCGCCCAACGCCTTGTTCAGCCCAGTTCGTTCGAGATTTTCGGCATAGTAGTCTTGTATGCGTGATGGGTCTCCCTCGCAGCAGGTGCCGGCACTACTTACTGAGCGCTTCCGGTAATTATACCTGCCCAGCATCGCCATGAGTTATGCGGGCTAGACCGCTTTGTGGCCTCTTCGACATGGGCATTTGGAGCAGCTGGTCAGCGGTATAGGGGCAATGCACAAGCAATGACGTACTTGAACCGACCTGGCTAATCTCAACATCACGTCTAGCAGCGGCACCGTACCTCGCGATCAGGATTACCTTGTCTCTAACATGTACACTATCGTGTATGTCCAACACTAAATGGCACTCCAAAGCCAAATCTCTATCGCAACATTCAGCCAGATAGCAGCATTTACGTTTCCGCCTGGCTGAGTGTGAATCTCGAGCATGTGACCAATTATCGCGCGCACCCAGCAACTGATTATTCATCTAAAAATAGAGTGTGTCTTGACGTGTACCCCCTCCACTCAGCCTCACTTTCAGGCGATTAATGGGCGGGTGGGCATGTTTGTTCAAACCATCTGCCCAGGCAATAGGGTCATAAAACATCGAGGGGCAAAGCCTAACAGCAGTAATGGACCCCGCATCTGTGATTAGGGTCATTGACGTCGTCACCGAGGTCACACAGGCTATCTACGTCTACGGCGATGGCATCAAAGAATGCAGAACGGAGGTCGCGCAACTACGCTGCGAGCTTTTCGGGATGCAGGCAGCGCTCACACAGATGGAGCAGGACCTGAAATTCATGCAAGAGAATAGAAGCACATACATTGTGGCTTCGTCAAACCTGCAATCTCCCCAATGCCAAGACATGCTCCATGAGACACGTTTGGTTCTTGGGAAGCTTGCTGATACTCTCAGAACTGGCCCGTCGAGAACACGCCAGCTGACAACCAAATTGACATGGCCTCTAAAACGGCCCCAAGTCCAAGCGTTGGCGACGCACCTGGAGCGTCTCAAGACTTTCTTCATCCTCACCGTGACAAGGGACAGTCTACAGTCTACACAAGACATGCAATCTTCTGTCGATGCAATATTTCAATCTGTTCAAGAACTTCAACAAACTCAAGAGGAAGAAGCTGTGTACTTGGATGCCATGAAGTGGCTTGCGCCCAGCGACCCCAGCATAGCCCATGCTACAGCTTCGTCTTGTCGCTTGGCAGGCACAAATTCCTGGTTCTTGGACAAGACATTTAAGGACTGGGCTTCTGGAACCGCCCCATTTCTTTGGGTGAAAGGAAATCCCGGCTCCGGCAAGACATGCTTGCTGTCCGCCTGTGCTGATAGGTAGGCTATCGTTGGCTTTTCAGTTCACTCTTGGGTTGTTTGGCTGACATTGGTGTTGCAGACTCCTGCAATCAGAATGCCTCGTCACCTACTTCTACTGTTCTTACAACGACTCCTCATCGCAGGAGCCTCGCAATATACTCGGCTCGCTCGTCGCTCAACTCTGCCGGCAGCGCGCGGTCATTCGGCATGCGGTGATCTCAGCCTACCAAGAGTCCAAGTCGCGCAACAGCTTAGTTGATCTGGTGCAGGTCCCAATGCTTGTTTCGCTGATTCAAAGGATTGCTCGAGCACTCTCAGATGAAATCTTCTTATTTGTGGACGCCGCGGACGAGTGTGGAGATAATCTAGCTGCTGTGCTGGAGGCGCTTTTCAAAGCTGTCACCAGCGGAGTCAGCGGGCGCGTCCGACTCATGCTTTCAAGTACTGAGAATGTAGCACAGACGATTCAAGATAATATCACTCTGCACGGCGTACCGACGAATAAAGTCAAGCTGGATGTCGCCATGGTCAGCAACGACATTGACGCGTACGTCACGAACCGATTTACGCGAGAGTCCAAGCTCAAACGGCTGCGGCCTGACCTACAAGCATCACTCATTAAGACCATCCAGTCTCAGCATCAAGGCTCCTTTAGATGGGCCAGTTGCACAATCGATGAGCTCCTGAGACGCACCACTCCAAAAGCCATCAAGAGTGCTCTAGACGGAGTGGCTTCTACCCTTGGGGATATTTATATCGGAGTATTGCGGAATATTCCAAGCGACATGAAGGATGTGGCTAGGTGCATGCTCCAGTATCTGGTGTCAGCCATGCGGCCACTTACTCTCGGCGAGCTGGGAGAAGCTGCGTCCCTCGTGTTCACCGATGATTTTGGAGAAGACGACCGTCTCATCGAACCAGAGGCCATTGTACACTCTTTGCATAGCCTTGTTCACTGCGATACCGGAAATGACTGCATCGAGCTCGCCCATTCGTCAGTTCGCACCTTTCTCACCAATTCCGAGCTTTCAGGCGCTTACTACGTTGATCCAGCCGCCGCAAACTCCGTCATGCTGCATGCCTGTCTCTACTATCTCGCACTTCCGCCATTCAAGCACACGTGTCCTGACGAGGCCGCACTCGCGACGCGCAAACGAGAGTGGCCTTTTCTTGAGTATGCCGCCTGCTTCTGGACGCGGCATGCACGAGCCATGACACTACCGCATTGCGATGAACAGAGCTACCTTGCGCTGTTTTCCAAGTTTGCCGCCTCAGCTGGCCACTTTGCGGCGTGGTATCAGTGCATCTACCCGCAGGGGGGGCCGCAGATCTGGGAGACAAGGCCGCTATACATGTGCGCCCGCGAGGGCCTCATCGCGCCTCTGCGTGCACTGCTAGCTAGCTGCGGTCCTGATGAGCTGGAGCAGCGCGGCGGCGCCCGCAGCTCCACGGCGCTACATGTCGCAGCCACTTACGGCGAGGTTGAGGCCGTCCGGCTCCTGCTGGCTGCAGGCGCAGACCCCAATGAGAGAAACGCGGCCGGCGAGAGCGGGATTCAATGGGCCGCGTTCTGGCACCATGACGAGACGGTCCGCGTGCTGCTTGAGGCCGGCGCATCTCCGGACCTACTCACATATCAGGCCAATCCAGAGCTCTACACTCGAATGGTACTGCACTCTCAGACATCTCTATCTAGGCATGCAGGCGCGGAGGAGGATAGTACCTTGAAGGCGAGTGAACTGCATCTAGATGATACAAGAGCTATGATTCTATGACTCTAGTGTGATTGTGGCTGGTGGCCCAAGTAGTGGCCAACCCTGATACAAAAGTCGCCGACATCTTCGCCAGCAGGGTTTCGAGGAAAAAATCGATTCGTTCTGATGTGCTCTAGAGCGTAACAAATTGATCGTACATAACCACAAAGTGATACTATTGGAGCAACAAGCCAGACAAGCGAGGGAGAATCAATCATGTGGCGCCATGCGTCAATGCTGTAATTGTAGCTTTTTACTGCCGCAATCCAGAGTAAATTCTCACCGGCGGATCATTCTCTTGTTCCATTCGGAGGTTCTAGATTTTGATAGTGCATGGCGTTTTTGATTCTTCTTACGAGAAGACAAATTTCTACTGGCCATCTACGCACAGTCTTCACACCACTACGGCCAGCTTCCCAGCACACAGGGCTACGTCGCATTTGTAAGACATATATGCTCCTGCTCATGAAATCTGCCCATCTTATCTTCGCTCTGGAATGAGAATGCGGCTGGCTCTCAAGTCACTCTTTCACTCAACTCTTATCGTCAATAAAAGCAATCATTTTTCTTTTACAAACAAAAAAAGTCCACGCAACGCTGAATGATTAATCATGATGTATTAATGTTGAATAAACAGATAAATTACTGGCTCTGTTCTTGTTGCCTGCTCCGCTCAAAACGACACGTCAACTGTATTCCGGACTCCCCTTCCTGTCTTCTCATCGCTGGGTTATATGCTTCAATAGTGCTTCAAAATAGACCTGCTTTTTCCCTTTCATCCTCTATGCTCGAGAGCAAGACCACTTGACCATTTCCTCCATCTCCAACATGATGCAACCGAAACCAAGAACAATATGTGTGCGCAAGGAAAGAAGAAACAAATATACTATTTCAAGCTTCCACGCGAAAAGAATAATTATATATAAATGTAGTAATGTAGCCGCAAAAAGGGAATCCAAGCTGACAAGACCACGAATCCATTACAAACCCATCCCAAATTACTCATGGCCAATTCTTCCCTCTCTCTTTAATACGGCGGCCGCGTCAAATTACCCAAAGTGCCCTCGTCAGACGTGCTGTCGATACCCCTTAGCAGATCCTGCAAATCGACGGGTCCCCTCGCCGCGCTGCTAGTCCGCTGGCGACCGCCAAACTCGCCACGGCCGCTGGCGCTGCGCTTGGCCGTCCTAGGGGATGCATCGTGGCCAAGCAGGTTGCTGCCTGGCTGCTGCTTGTTGCCCGCGTATGCCGCCATGTTGGGCAGCGGGGGCACGGGCGGGACGTCATCCTCGTCATCAGCGGTGTGAGGGCCGACGCCACCGCTGCGGTCCGTGTGGGCCGTAGAGGGCGGGCCGCCGCGCGACGACAATGAGGTGAGCCGAAATACGTCCTGCCCTGCGGGGCTGCCGGCGCCAGCGCCGTCTGCCTGTCCGGTCGCCGGGTTAAAGCTGAGCTCGGACATGGTGTAGTCGTAGCTGACCATGGAATCGCTGCTGTCGTCCGATTCCGGGTTGGCGGTGCCAGGGATGCCGGCGGCGCGCGGCGAAATGTTGCCAGAGAGCATCATCTTGAGCTGGTCGACCGAGGCGATGGCGCCGCCTCTCTCCTTCTGTTGGCCGGGCGAGGGCGAGGGGGCGTTGGCGCTCTGGATGCTCGACTTGCGCATCTTGACGTACGAGCCGAAGCGGTCCGCGCCGGTCTGCGGCTGAGCTGTGTGCGGTCGCAGATTGTGCAGGCTGCCGTAGGGCGAGACAGGAAGGCCGCCACCGTTGTGGTTGTTGCCATTGGCGCCACCGGCTGTGTTGACAGTCAAACGGTTCGCGCGGGTGGCGGTGGTGCCCGTCTTCTTAGAGCCCGTAATGGATTCGGTCCTGCGCTGGGCAGCAATAGCGGCAATGGTGCCGTCGCGAGACCACTCGGCGAGTAGCTGATGGCGGTAGTTGGTAGGCAGCTCAGAGTCACGCTCCGTCTCGCTAATGGACTGCATGTTGGCCCCAAAGGGCGGCGCATGCTGACGGCTGGAAGGCGAGGCCACAGGGCTGGCAGGCGGCGACTGAACGCTGTCCTGGTACGCTGAGGCGATGCTCTCCACCAACGACAATCTGTCATCAAAAGGCAGAAGCTCGCCCGTCTCAACGGCCTTGGTATCCCAAGCAGGGTCTTGTCCGGCACGGCCTAGAACGCCAACCTCGTACAGCGGCCTGGGAGGCACGGTGATACCCTCGACCCAGAAACGCGTTTGTTGGCGGCGCCGAATTTCATTGCGAATGGCACGGCCAACGTTCGCGTTGTCGAGTTGAAACTTCTCGGTGATACTCCAAAAGTAGCCGTGGCAGAGCGCGGCAATACGTACCTTTTGAACAGGCAGGTCTACTTCCTGAATCTCCTCCTGCAGACGGAAAATCATGGGCAGGCCGTAGCGCACGGCGTTGATGCCGAGCTTGGCGACTAGCTTGGAGAGTAGGGCGTGGAGCAGACACATGTCACTGTCAAAGTCGACAAGCTGCAGGGCAGAATCGTAGATAGCGAGGTGTAGCATGGGCAAAAAGTGGGAGATGTGGTGATTCTTGAGCGGCTTTTCGCGATGTGTATTGTTGGACACGGCGCGGCGCGAGGGGAATACATCGTGGTTTCTCGAGGTTGACAAGGGGCTAACAAAGTCGTCGTCGGCATTGCTGTCCTGGGAGACGGTTTCCCGGTCAAGCCAGATGAGGAGAGCGTCAACATAGGCCTTGCGGACACTGCCGTGAGGGTCCTGCAGCAGCCACTGAGTCTCCTCCCAAACCTGGATGGGGACGCGGCTTCGTGAGAGGTTCATGTTACCAGTCACCTTTTTTTGCGGGTTGGCGACGACCAGAATGGCCTTGATGGCACGTAAAGCCGATGCGCGGCCCGAAGCGTAGGACAGTGACTGCTCGTTTTGAGGGTTTTGGGCAGTTTCGGTAGAGGCAGGCTCGGCAGTGGTGCCGGCAACGTCGCCATTCTCGAACAGGTTGGCCCTTTCCTGCGGCAGAGAAGCGGTGCTGCTGGCTTGAGTAGGCTTGAGGCGGACCAATATGGCGGTAATCATGTCCCAGACCTGATCGGCGTAGTATACATGATGGGCCAAATCGCCAATGCAAGACTCGAGGCGATGGAGCAGATCGGCATGAAGGGTGCTGCGACTGTCGGGGGGGTTGTCGAGCTGGTCGTCGCTGCCGCTGGCAGATGGATTGCTGCCGGTGCGAAGTTGAAAGAGCTTGCGCATCTGGCGGATGAGGCCGTGCAGCACATCCATGACGCTGAGGCCAATCAGGTTGAGGTCGGAGCGCAGCATGGAGCCAATGATGGCGGTATATACAATGTGGTGGTCGAGAGTTTCCTCCTTGAGAGGGGCGCGAACCATGGTGTCAAGGACGACGAGTAGGATGATGTAGCGGTCCTGGACAGGGGCCCAACGGGAAATTATGTTGAAAAGCTGGATGGCAGGGCCCGAGTCGGTATTGTTGGCGGGGTCGCGGGTGATGATGACATCGCCCGTGGTGGCACGCTGGGCAACGAAGCGCAATAGAGCAGTGGTGGCGGAGTGAATCTGGGAGCGATTGGGGGCAACAAAAATGCTCTTGAGGCACTGCAGGGCCAGGACACCCGTCTCCTCCTCGGCCATGTTGTCGACGTCGGCACCAGTGCCAGAGATGGCGAGCGGATTGGCGTCGGCAGGCTCCTCATTGGTTCGAACGGTAACGACGCTCGTCCTGCGACGAGTCGTCTTTTCGGCGTCGTGCTTCTCTTCAGTCTGTTGGCGATCGTACACGACATCGAGAAAGTTTTCATGGTCGGACCAAAGATTGTCGAGAATAGAGGGGACAATGACGTTGATTTGGCGACCGGAGAGGGAGGAGAGGGCGTCGGCGGCGGAGACGCACTTGATGGCGCTAAGGCCAGCATTGCGCCAACGGATCTGGACGGAACGAGTGACGGCGGGCTTGTCGGCGTGATAGTTTTTGGAGGCAAGCTGGGCGTAAGCGCGGACGACGGCCTCGTAGTGGCTGAGGTAGTCCTTGTCGCCAAAAAGGGAGCTAGGGTCGTGGTTTTCGCAGAACGCCTCGAAGGTGGGAATGGAGGATTCAATCATGGTAATGTCGTCGGAGCGGAGGATGAGGTCGAGGATTTTGAGAACGGTTGGGGCGATGAGGGCAGCTTCTTTGGGAGATTTCTCGACGAGGGCGGCTAGAATGCCGAGTGTGACTTGGACATTGCTAAGGGGTTCGGGTTAGCATTGAGCTGTATATGGCAGATATTCGAGATGGCAAGGCCGGCGAGGCCGGGTGCCAATCGAGTACATACCCGATGCGCATGCGCCAGACGTCAGTGGCCGTCTTCTTCTCGAGGAAGGCACCAATCTTTTGAATCTTGGAGCGTCGGCTGGTGGCGTAAAATAGCAGGTAGCTCAGCTCGCTCGAGTTCGGCTTAACGTCGACAGCGCCTTTCGTGGTGCGGGGGTAGCATTTGAGAACGAGGACCTGGTGCTTAGGCCGCAGCCTGTTTTCGAGGGAATTCATATTGTATATTTGGATGTATGTGGTCGTCGCGTCGCGTGTGAGGTCAAGGCCGAGTGGGCAAGACACGGGGCGATTATGTGCGCAGTCGGCGATTATCGCCGGTGTTCTGAATGGCAGAGCGTGAGGGCAGCAGAACTAGCTAGCCTCCCCAGATTGGGGAGAAAAAGAGGTCGAGTTTGAATGAGTTCGGCTGGTGTGAGCTCGCTGCGTGGTGATGCTGTGTGCGAAAGGGGAAAGGTGATGATGGGGATCCCGTTTGTATGCTTTTCCGAGTCGTAACGAGAAAGGAGAATCTGCAAAAGTAAAACAAAAAGAAAACCTGGGGAAGGAATCAAAAGTGGAAATCAAAAGGATGGACAGAGAAGAAGGAGGGGGAGGAAAGGAATCGGATAGATTTGAAAGAGAGACGAGCCCGAGCCTTGTGTTGGGACCGGGGGGGTTGAATCGGGGAGAGAGGGAGATGGATGATGTTGATTACCTCTTTGGCAAGGTACCTGGGTACAAGTCATAATTGGACAGGTAATTACGGGGCACGGACAGGCCCTGGCATCTTTTGGCAAGCAAAACAAGAGCTGGAGAAGCTGTTTTAGAGTTGGACAGGCGGTACTTTTCTAATCACCAACCGTTCGGCGCCACTCGATGTACCTGGCGTCACGCAGCGTATTTACAGGGCAGACTGGGGGCGTTTGAGTGGTACAAGCCACAGGGACCTTTGTCGCTATAATAAATGAACATTCATTTGCATGTGCTAAAAGTTGATGAGTGTATGAAATTTTAAAATCTCAAGTCAATAGCAAAACCCTACATACTGTTGCACGACGTTTCTCTTCTTTTTATGACTCGATTTCGAGTCGCTTTTCGCTACATCTCTCATCTTCTTTCGGAGAGACTCGGTTACGCCGTGTCCTCTTATGTTTTGCCCGAACCAGCATACAGCCGAGGCCTGCTTGTCAACGTTTTCAGCCTCGTGCTTTGCTGGCCTTGCCCGATTCGACTTCCAGGTTTGAAGACCACCTAACACAATACAAACCCCAAACACAATCATTCATCCACTTTAAAAAAAAGGGAATTGACTCCCCACGGGCCCCTGGGTTAGGTGTTGCAGCGCCGACTTGGCCTCCATCACAGCGCTGTCAGTCCTTTCTGTAAATTGTTGTTAGCGCCCGTCAATATCTAGTCAAACCTCGATGAAGAAGCCAGTCCGCATTCTCGCGTGTCGCAAATTAGACACATTGCGCATTTCCTCTCGCCATTTCACCAAGTAAAATGCAAATATAATGCGCAATGAGCTCGTTACTCATCTACCCATCTTCCCCGCCTCCGCTTACATGTCACCACCACACCGACCCAAGGGCTTTCCTTTCTTGTCTCCCCCGCAAAGCATATGCCAAAAATCTAGCTTCTCTTGATATGTACCATTTTGCCTCGGCCGGCTGGCGCGGGAGGGGATTGCATGCCACTTGCAGACAGACCCAAAGAGGCCAAACCAGGCAGGGATAGCGGTGGACAACAAATCAAAAATCCTCTTGCCACTTGGCCCGTGGCTTATTCTAGCGTCTTCCTCCTAGCCCTTTTGCACCTCTTTTTCGCACCCAATCCCTGAGGGCCTTTAGTATCTTCTTCCTTTCCACCATGCACATTCACGTCTGCGCTTGTAGCCGACATGTCCGGCCACCCGCCTGGCCCACCACTTACTTTTACGGCTTACAAGTACCCGGTACGACGATACGACGGGGCCTATTAACCACAAACACACCCTACTTATGCTTTAACGAATCAAGAAAAAAAATTTATCGATTGAGAAGAGGCTTCTTTCCATTCTTCACTACACGTGAGTAGTTCGAGATGCTTGGTATGCAGGTTTTCGAGTCCTCTGTCACCATGCTACCCCAAGCCGCCCTATTGCATGATCTTTACAGCGCACATGATGGACATCACTTGACTCGAACCTCAACCAAACACTCCTTGGCCATTTTGTTGGGAACAGAAAGATAATATTGAAACCGCACTAGAGCTGCACCGTAGGAATATAGAGGGTTCTTTTGTAGATACTACGCTGCCAAACTATTCAACCCTCTTGTTGGCACACTTGTGGCTTGCATCCCGCCAAGCCAATCCTCTCCCGCGCCTATCCACCACCCGTCTCGGCATCACCAACTGGTACAGCAAAAAGCCGTTCCTCTGTCAAATGAAACTTTACCAAATTGAATTGCTCATCATAAATAGATAGGGAAAAAAAGTCTTTTAATCTGCACTCGGCATTGTACATCATGACTCTATCCATCATCGCACTATTACCCGCAACGCCTATCCTCGTCCTCTTTTCTAAGCTATAGATGCAATCACTAGCGCCGCCACATTCTCCTCCTCGCTGCGCACCGTAATCTTGGTCGTCACCCCCGACTTGGACGAGAATGCCATCCGCACCATCGCCACCACACGCCCTCCGCTCACCGTCCTGCCCAACAGTTTCAGCGTATGTGTGCTCTGGTTGACTGGAACGTCCGTCCCGTCTAGCGGTTGCAGCGACAGAGCCTGTGTGAGTTGTTCCGTGGCATCTATTCACTCATTAGTATTCGACCGTCAGACACCTCCAGCCTGTCAACTTACCCGCAATGCTCTTCATGCTGCTCAGCTGCAGCGTCTCCTCGGCCTGCTCGCCAGATGCTCCAATTTGCTCCCACAAATGGTTGAAATTGCTCGCAAACGTGGGAATAATATAGTCGCTGCCCGTGAGCTCAAACTCTGACACCTCGTACTCATCATCGTAACCAGTCTCCTCGGGGTCACCCGTCGCTGGGTCAATTTCCTTGCTGGTAAATCGAAGAACATTCGTAAATGACGAGACTGGCAGAGAGTTCTCGCCATTCACCTTCTTGAACGCCACGTACACCTTGCCAGGCTCATCCGTCGCCAGCCTGTCAGACTGTAGGATAAACACCTCCTCTAGCTCCTCCTCCTCAGAAGGCGACGCTACAACCGATACGTTCTCCAGGACCGTGTCGGGAAGAGTATTCTTGACATCGAATTGCAGAACAATGTGCTCCTTGAAAATGTGCTTGACCAAAGACACGACGTACTCGGTCTCCGCTTCGGTGAGCTCAATAACAGGCGATGACTTGAGTACGCTGCCAAACTCGGCCATGTCGGGGATGGCAGTAAGCTCCTCCGTGTACTTTTGCACCTGCGCAGAGGCGGCCGCCGCAGCCTCGGCACCAGTGGCGGGCGCCTTTGTCGGACCGGACTTGGGCGCCTTGAGCGTCGGCGTCGTGGCTGTCAGCTTCTTGGTTCTGTCCTCGGCATCGGCCTGCTCTCGGGTCACGACTGGAATCTTGGAAATATCAAACGGCTCCTCAAAGTTGCTCTTATCATCCGACGTCACGTACATGACGAGCTGATGCTCAAAATACGGCAGCGCAAACATGCTGTCATTCTTGACAAAGTTGCTCGCCATCTTATCGTCTTCCTCGCTCATGAGCTTTAGGTTGAGCGCAGCGCGGTCGCGAACTTCGTCGTCGACATCATCCAAGCAGCGAGTTAGTAGAACCTTGACACTGCTCTTGACGTCGGCGTCAGCTTGTCCAACGCCAAACTTGGCCAGTGCCGTCACCGCAGCCGCACGGACAATGGCGTTCTCCAAGACAACGCGGTTGTAGATATAGCGGATATATTTGGTAGGGTTGCTGGTCTTAGGGCCCTCGAGACCAATCAGGTGCAGGATGCGCACGGCAAGTTTGGTGAACTCGCAGTCCTCGATAAACTCGCACAAATGCGCCAAAGCCTCGTCTTTGGAATCAGGAACAAACTTGATTAGATCAAACATGCTCTCAATGACAGCCTTTTTGAATTCGTAGCCGCCCTCGTCGCGCAGGATGCCGCTGAGGAAAGTCAACATGCCAGCCTGCTTGCTGGGAAACTTGAGGCAGAGTGTGCGGATGGCCTCTACGATGGTAATCTTAAACTCGTCGGTGATCTCGGACATGAAGCTAGCAATCTGCTTCATCAGACGGTCGACACTAGCCTCGTTACCAGTCTTGAGAAGCGTCGTAATGGCAAACGTGGCGATGGAGCGGTTGGAGTTGGAGATGAGGAGCTCAATGTCTTGGTTGCAGGGAGAGACGGCGATGGGCTTGAACGAGGCGAAGTTGTGGAGGATACGGAGGGCGGCAAACTTGGTAACGGCGCGGGGCGAAGTGAGGAACATCTGGAGGACGTGAACGGCTTGGTTAATTTCCTCGTCAGTGACATCGCGGAGTTCGCAGATGGCCTTGGCAGCCTCAAAGTTGACCATTTCGGACTTGTGGCGCAGCCAGCCAACAAGAAGCTGTGACATGGGCTTGCGCAGAGAGGCATCCTCTTCGGCAAGCTGAGAGGCGAGTCTAACCAGCATGACTGTGGCAGGGGCGCTCTTAACAGCACCAGGGGAGCCAAACTGCTGAACCATCTTGACCAGGGCCATGCGGTCGTGCATGCGCATCTGGTAGAGTAGACCGATGGCGTGGTATTGCGTCATGCTCGAGTTATTTACGGGCATCTGGTTGCTGGACGAGAAGCCCAGGGAGAAGCCACCACCCGACTTGGAGTTGGCAGCAGCCTCCTGGGTCTCGCTCTGCCAACGACGGACGACATCCTTGGCGATGGGGAGGAGGTGATACGAGGAAACGAGAGCGGCGGAGGAGACGGAAGAGTTCTTGTCGACAATTGCAGTCTTCATCACACGTTCGATCGATTGAACAGTCGTCGCCTAGAGAGAGGTTAATACGAAGGGAAGGCGGAAATGGTCAGACCACCAGGAAACCCACGTCAATGATGCGGCAGAGGGCTCTGATGGCATTGGGGCGGTAAATGGCGTCGCTACCACCACCAGTGTCCTTCATAATGGTACTCGTCACCATGATGATGTCTTCCGCCGAGTTGGCGAGCTCCTTGATGACAAGGTGCACCATCTGGCGGAGGCTGGCATCCTTGTTCTGGAAGAGCTTTGAAATGCCAAAGAAGAGGGTGGTGGCTTCGTTTGTCGGAAACTTTTCGCCCGTGTATACGAGGAGAGCAATCTTGGTCAGGAGAATACGGCATCGTCGCGGCTGAATCGGTGAGCTGTTGAAGAGTCGTGCTGTTTGGGCCAGCTTGTTAGCATCGAATGGCGGGGTGCGTCGAGCCGCCGGCGCGCGACGAAGCCATTGAGCGCAGACGAACCTTCTTGGAAGACCTGTGTGCGATCCACCTTGACCAGACCCAGGTCGGCATCTTCGTCCTTTTTGCCGTAGCTCATGATGGGCGACTGGCTTTGGGGGTTTTGGTTGCAGGTGTCGTGGTCTATATGGGCCGCCAGGGGAATCTCCACGTCGACACTTTGGGGACGGTGTGGAACGAATCACGTGACTCATATACTTTGGCGTCGGACTGCCAGTTCAGAATTTAATTTATTCTGCAAAAATATGACTGTATTTCTTCATGTAGAGAGGTGCGATAATACGCATTAAATGAGCTCACATTCTGTGGAGTTGAGGAGGTAGTTTGCGAGGATGGTGATGATGTGTTCTCACAGGAACGCGTACACAGCAGTGACAATACTCGTGAAGCCAAGCACAAAGTCGCAGAGCAGAAATGCTGAAATAAACAAATTTTTTAAACAATTTTATACGTATTAACTTTAGTCTATCCCCTTTAGACGGCCAATTGGTCAACCACGAGGCACCAGCGACGTTCCGCATCCACCCCATATCTGCAGCTCCAAAATTTCCAGACTTTGCCAAACTCATCTACCTTGTTCAACATCACAACCACCATCATGCAACGGACGATGCGAATACCGCTGCGCCTTGCACCCCGTGTGCTCAGAGGCAAGGTGCTACCCCTCCGCAGCATCCACGCCTCGGCCGTTGCGGGTGCCAACGTCGCCCCCGTCGTCGGCACCGGCCCGCCCCCCGAGGCCCCCATCCAGCGCACCCCCAACGAACGAGTCGAGCGCCGCCGCAAGCATGCCGAGATGCTCAAGATGGCCAAGGCCATCCGCAGCGCCAACGACGGCAAGAAATCCTCCTCTCCCTCCTCCTCCGCCGGCGGCGGCGGCGGCGGCGGTGACCTCTCGCCCACGAGGCGCCGCTTCTGGAAGGACGTCCGCGTCAAAGAGGTCGACGGCGCGCTGCAGGTGCTCCTCGACGCGCGGCCGCTGCGGCACCCCAACAACAAGGAGATTGTGCGCGTGCCGCTCAGCAAGCCCACGCTCGCGACGGCGCTCGCCATCGAGTGGGACCTGCTCACCTCGGCGCAGCAGGCCACGCAGCAGCACCTGATTCCGCTGACGAGCCTCGTCTGCCGCGCCATTGACGTGGCCGCCGACGATGCGCTCGGCGACCGCGCCACGGTCCGCGCTGCCATTGCCGAGTCGGTCATGCGCTACCTCGACACCGACTCGCTGCTGTGCTGGGCGCCGCCCGCGGGCAAGCTCGACTTGCGCAACGACGCGGGCGAGTCCCTCCGCGACGTGCAGAAGCGCGCTGCCGAGGAGACGGTCGGCTTCCTGGCGACGCACGTCTGGCCCGGCGTCACCGTCAAGCCCGTCCTCGACGGCCACTCCATCTTCCCCGCCGAGCAGGACGAGGGCGTGCGCGACGTCGTCCAGGGCTGGGTCATGGGCCTGTCGGCCTGGGAGCTTGCCGGCCTGGAACGGGCCGTGCTGGCTGGCAAGAGCCTCGTCACCGCCGCACGCTTCATTGCAGAGTGGAGCGATGATGCTGCCGGTCTGTCCAAAGCGGTCGCGCGCGAGACCCGGTTCAGCGCCGAGGAAGCGGCCCGCGTCACGAGTCTGGAGGTCGACTGGCAGACGAGCCACTGGGGTGAGGTGGATGATACCCATGATGTCAACAGGGAGGACGTGCGACGCCAGCTTGGCAGCGTTGTTCTGCTTGTGTCTGGCGCAAGCAAGTCGTCGTAAAAAAAAGAAGAGGGAAAGGCTGGCTGACATGTATTTATACCATTGTATACACTCGAAAACTGCTCTGAACTTAAATATTTACACTAGACTATGGCGAATTCACCGTTGGGGAATTTTGGGTTTCAAACTGCGATGCCAAACGATTTAAATGTACTGGAGAGCAAGCTGCTGGTGCTATTGCCAAGCAATTACATCTCTACTTGGCTCCAATGAGTTCTTGGATACGCATGCGAAGCATATGGTATTTGACAAAAGCCTGCATAGCGTAGCCCTGGACAATGTTCTTGAGGCTTTCTTCTCTGACGGCGCGCACCGCCTTGACAGACGCAAAAAGCGCAAGCGCAAAGGCCGCAATCTTGATGTAGCGGCCGAGCCGTTTTGTTCGGCGATCGAGTGCAGGCTGTAGAGTCAATGAGCGACAAGGTCAGGTGATCACGACGGACATGAAAAAAAAAAACTCACGGTATATTTCAGGTCTTCATAGACTGGAAATAAGCACCTGTACCAGTAATCGTTCTGCGTAAATGGATACGTCGACGAGTTGCGGGCTTGCTTTCCTTCAGCATTGCGAGAGTACCAGTTGTTGCAAATGCCATCGGCCCAAACGGTGTTTTTCAGGCCATCCTGGATTCTTTGATCCCATCGATCCTCGGCATCCTGCAAGCAGTCAATCGAGACGGCCTCACCATCCAGCACGGGCTTGATAATGCGTAGCGAGTAGTTGATGGCATTCTCAATAGCAAAAACGGTCGAGGTATGGCCGGTAACGGTATTCGGGCCTGTGTCACGACGAGTCAGCCTCTTGGTGTAGAATATGTGATATATACTACGCAGGAAGCTTACCTAGAATCATGAAGAAATTGGGAAAACCACTGATTAGGGTAGCATTGTACGCTGCTGCGCCGTTTGTCTTTTTCCAGTGCTCTTCAGCCGTCTCGCCATTCCTGCCCACAACCTCAATGCGGGGCAGGAAGCTATTCGTGGTGTAGCCGGTGGCGAGGGCAATGACGTCTGCCTTGATGACGCCGTCTTTTGTACGAACTCCTTCGGGGACAATCTCAAGAATCTTGCTGTCCATGAGCGTGAGGTTATCCTCATTGAGGGACTCGAGGTAGCCAGGGTTGAATATGCGACGCTTGCAGCCAATGGGAAAATCGGGAATGAGCATATCGTGGTACTTGGCCGGAGCAAGCTTCTTCATATAGGCGCGCGTGCTGGCCTCCTTTGCCTTGCGCAGACGCGCCGCGTACTTTGTCAAGTAAAACGCCCGCCACGAGTTTTCGAGCGCCAGCCAAATGGCCAGGCGCATCAAGTTGAGCAGGCCTGGGATTCTCTTGAACAGGAAGCTCATCAGACGAAAGTTGGGCATGACGGGCGGCTTGACGATCCAATGCTTGGAGCGCACGATTTGCGTCAGAGTCTTTGTCTCCTTGACGATGGCAGGGACGATCTGGTCAGCCGTACAGCCGTTGCCGACGACGACGACATTCTTGTCCTTGAGAGACACGTCGTGGTTCCAGCGGGCTGCGTGAAACATGTCGCCCTTGAAGGTTTCCGCGCCAGGAAAATCGGGAATACGAGGCTGGATCAGTTGGCCGACGCCGCTATAGAGAAACTTGCACTCGTGATAAAAAACGGTGCCGGTCGTGTTGTCGCGGATATCCATGCGCCATCGTGCCCGTGCCTCATTCCACTCACAGCGCTCAACGGTAGAGTTGAATCGCATCTTGGAGAGGAGCCCATATTTCTCAGAGATGTTGGTCAGGTAATCGAGGATATCGGTCTGCCCGTTGAAAAGCTGCTTCCAGTCGCCGTTGGGTTCAAAGGAGAAGCTATACAACGGGGAAGGAACGTCGCAGGCGCATCCTGTTGCGCAAGAAAAACTAAAGTTTAATATTGTTTATGTGCAGTGTGTCGCCTGGGTCACTGACCTGGATACTGGTTAATGTGCCATGTGCCACCAAGCTTGCTTTCGCGCTCAAAGAGCACCACATCGGTAATGTTGTACCACCGCTTCAGGGTCGCGCCCAGACCAATGCCAGAGAAGCCTGTGCCTATGCAGGCAAACTGGCTGTAAGTGATGCTATCCTTTTCTGCAGCCATGTCGGTTCGGCTTGGCGTTGTCGTGGAGCCGCGTTGAAAAAAAACGTGCAACCACCGACGTTTTCCTTCAGGTGTAGAAGGGACAGGATGCAAGCTGTAAGGGGGACACGGGCATACAGCCGTTATGACTTGAATTTCAGACAAAAAACTGCCCGCCGATGGAAAAGCTGGGGGGAAAGCCGAGGCCCCCCCGCCTCTAGTGCGACGCCAACCGGAGAATGGAGAATGGACCACACGGAGACGGATTTGACGGATGGCCCAGTCATGGCCGATCACATTTCTGACTACATGGATAGAGCAGACGGTAATCCTGCGGCACTACGACTCGACCAGACGCTTGTGCGATTCCTCCGGGCTGTCGCAGGAGGCAAGGCATGACATGATAGGGGCGGCTGATCATAGCTGGAGGGGGGGAACACGACAGCATTGGTGGCATCTCTTCTGCCGCCTGACCGAAAGCGGCAACCGAACCGATTCGGGAAACGATCGATATCGTCTCCTGCAGTACCGATGCAGCACATTGGGCCGAGTTTTGCGCCACATGTCAATGTGATGAGCCTGTGACCGCAACAAAAAGGGAACCGAATCTGAAACAAAATAAGGCTTTCGACTTTCAACTACTTAGCTCTCCGATACTTTTAGCGATCGTAGCACTAAAAATCGCCCGTTGATGGGGCAGAGTCGGTAGAACGGTTACTCGGCGGGAACTGGGGCCGCTTCCACACGCAATGCAGCAGCCATCATCAGCCCCATCCATACGTACACTTATAACATGAGCATTATAAGTTCAGTGATGAGGGGGCTTTCATTTTAGTGGACTTGATAACGACCAATATTTCAGAGATATTCTGTGGGTGACAAGGGCAAATAATAGAAGCAATATCATGTGCCACTTATTTCTGTAGTGCTACAGGGCTAAAGGGCTGACCGGGCACTAATTCTCTGGTGCAACAAGTATTACCAAGCCCCCCGTGCCAGCGCAGGAATTTATTGCATAGGAACAAGGAAAGTTCTAAACCGAGAGCCATTCATCCTCTGCGCAAACGTTGTTGAACATGGCGCGAGCAGCGAACCTGTTCTCTTCGTCCGACTGTGAGAGCTGCAATCGATCATTACCGCGGCTTCGCTGGGCTGGGCTGATTATTAGGCTCCCCGTAGGGCCCCGTAGGGCTTCTCGCGGAAAAGTGGTTTTTGCTGAGCAAAACTATTTTCTGCAGAGATGCCTGGCTCATGCGGCTGGAGTCGTAGCGCGTCCGTCACCCAGGTCGTCACCCAGGTCGTGTGGCGTCGCGCGATTGAACAAAGTGAGGAAGAATCCCCACAACGTCAGCCTGAGTGCCTGATAACACCACCCCAATGGCCGATGTAATTCGGGTCGTTTTATATATTCCTCTTTCAAGAAATAGCTTTTACTAATAACTTGACTGCTATTCCCATAATGGTGGGTTGAGAAGAGTAGACTTGAGGGTGGAAAGCAATCGGCGAAACGTATGAAAAGAATGAAACAGTATTGGTAAAGTGCAGCCCTTAGTGACGACATCCATCAGCAGCCAGCTCCAGGCATGACAGCCTCATTCGGTCAACGCTTACCGAGGCCAGAATGTCTTGTCCAGACGTCCTTGTAGCTATCTCACAGAGGTCAATTCTGACCGACTCGTGCTTGTTCGGATGATACCTGCTGTATCTATACGAAAGCACGGTCCAGCGTCAGCATCACAAAAAGGTAGGATGTTGTTTCCTGAGGTTCAAGCATCGATAACACTGAATCTAGCACGTCCATCAGACAGTGGGATTTGTTTTACGACTAGGCGAACCGTTGTGTTTATTATAATGAACAGTTGTATTATAGCCTCTGCATTTGCATCACAGTGTGGGGAAAACCTATTCCAGGTGAAAGAAGAAAAAAAACCTACACCGAGGCCTAGTTATTGAGAGAAAAAAAAGGACCAGTTGATAAGGCCATGACCGCTGCCATTTCTCGTCGGACGTCTCCAGTCAACCCTGTCGAGCGCAATCTCCAGCTCAAATTTAATCGTCATCATCGTCGACAGGGGTCTTTGAGCATCGGATAGAATAGGCCGTGATGCGGATTCGCGACTGGCTCTGAAAAATCACTACGGGATCAAAGTCTTGGCAGTTTGTTGCGCTGTTCTGTTGTTAGCTGTACTAGAACTAACTATATACTGCCCAAAAGAAAAAAAAAAGGTTTGGATTTTTTTGACGTACCGGTAGAACTCGCAATTCACAACCGGAGTGAGCAGCAGAGATTGAGTGCCTCGTCCTGGGGTGGAGCTGTAACTCAAGATTAGCTTGGCAGACGGGTGGACTCTGGTCATGGTTAATAAATGCACTCACAAGGGAGGACCCAAGTTGACGCAAATACCATTGGCAGGGATCGTGCGGCGTTGCCCGCGATATTCTGGGCTGTCAAAGATGTTGGCGTTGTCGTCCCGAGCACTTAGACCAGCCGTCGCCGTCGCCGGGCTCGCTGCAGCCAGGGGGGCGAGAAGAAGCGGGAGAATATTCATAAAAAGCATGTTGACTGTTTAAAAAGCTGTGAAATTTTGCAAAGTATGTCTCGCTTCTTGTGTAGTGGAAGAGCTGATTGTCTGTCTGTTTGTATCTCTCAGCAAATAGTTGGGGAGAACAGGACGTTTTATATGTAAATGCCTCTCCTCGGAGCTTTAATCTCCTGCGACCAAATAGATCCTTGAGTAAATGTGCCCGGGTTAAGCTCAAGACACACAGGTAACTGCTACAACAGTACATACTGACTGTTACGCGAGAGAAGTGCTTTGGAAAGACTGTGATTCAGAGTGAGGGATGCAATGTCTTGCCCAGGACTTCTTGAATTCTCTCTGTACGGATCCATGTACAGTCTTTTCCATTGCTTGACCGTTGTCTAAATCGAACTCTGCTGGGCACGCTTTGCCTGTTTCGCCTGCCTAATGTGGTGGCGTGTGTTCAGCAACCGGTCTCAGCACTACTCATGCTGCGACCTGCAGCGTCCTATCTTTCATCGGTAGCATCTAGGTGCGAGACTTTGCAGACTAAAGTCTTTCATAGGTAGCATTCAAGTATGAGGGACTAAACAACAATATTCGGGATGCGTTGTAGTGCTTTTGCTGTGTGAAAAAAACTATGAGAAATCTGCAAGATCACATCGTACGTTGTTCATTCGTCTTGGCTGCGCTGGCGGACACTATAGATGAAGAAAAAGCAGCAATCTATTTAACGGCTCACTAGTTCATTTGGCTGTACTTGGCCCGTGTTCCACAATATACTGATACTGTCTCTGCACTACCAGGTGCGACTTCATTGTTCCTGCCTCAAGAAAAAAGTGTACGTGTAAGACATTCAGCATATAGCTACGCAGTGCGCAGAAAGGGCAGCTAGACTTTATCACCGCCTTTAATCGCTTCCACATCTGCGAATATTGCGCAAGAGTTTTCTACAAGAAATTTGACGAACCAGCTAGCTCCAGTATAGTTTTTGCGACGAGGTCTCATTCGTTAGATGGTAATACCAGTAGGCAGATGAAACATACTGCTCTATCAGCCTTCAATTGTTACATTGCTGGAATTCAAATTCGCCGTTGGCGAGATCGTCCATTGTTAGATCCGGAAGAGTAGAATTAAGCCAGTTAATAATGGCCGTATCAATAGAAGCTTGTTCGCCAGTTTTTCAGTACCGCAACTGCTATGACGATAGATTCGTCAAAGCGTAATGCTATTTTCCAAGTTGTGATAAAAATGCGATTCATGAGGACATCTGTTCCTCGTCACTGTTAGAGCAAAACAAATACGGCTGACGAGAGATCAGCATGGCGCAGAATCCGGTGACATAGGATCCATGTCTGCCAGACCGCTCAAGCTGATCCTGCCGTCCTTGCTGAGGTTTACCGCAACTTCAATCAGCGCCGGATACTCCTTGGACCTGGACCTCTTGGTTGCCGATGCGGGACAGGTTATTACGTATGATGGATTGCTGCCGCTGCAGATGGGACGCACGGTACGAGAGACGGCCTGCAGACAACACAGAAGCGCTTTGAGTCCATGGCAGGTTTATATTACGTAGAATATTCGAGCAAAAAGGTGACACAATTAATAATGTTGGTCCAGATATAACATAGAAAAAGCTGCTAAAACGGCAATTGTGGTTGAGCTGCTCAAGAACGGCAGAGAGACAGACTGTCTCACGAAAGTAGAAAGCTCACGTCCTCTTCAACACATAATGGCCTTCCCCCGTTCAACCTGGTTCAATACTTACCTCTGCGTAACCTTGCGAATCTGCTCGCCAAAAGTCGGCATGCGCAGTTTGGCCAAGCCCGCTCCAAAGCCGAGCCGAAAGTTGGTCAGCATCCACGTAGGAGCGCCTCGCTGAAGTCAAGTTAGCCAAGTTCTGTATAGATCAATAGCCAAAGGCTGAACGATTCAAAGAGAGAATCTGGTTTCCATCGCCTTTATCAAAGATCATCACTTACTAAACCTGCACTGAAGCTGCCGGCGCCGGGCTTGTAGATTGTGTGCGAGTAGGTGCTATAGACGGAGTCGACAATGGCCTCGGCCACCGTCTCAACCTCGAGGAACGGCACCGCAAAGCTTCCGCCCCTGGCTGCCGTGCCCACCATCGGCGTGCGGATGAAGCCAAAGATGCCGAGCGTTTGTCGGACGCGCGGCGCGTCATACATGAACTTGAGTTCGAGCTGGAGGGCCTGTAAAGAAGAAACATTGGTTAGCAAAAACAGAAAAAAAAAATTACCACGAAGCAATTGTAAAGGGAAGAGCAACGTACGTCGTGCAACGCAGACAAGCCGGCCTTTGTCGACGAATACGGCCCGATGGTCGGGCCCGCAATCACGGAGCTCAGCGACCCCGAGTACACAATGTGTCCGTGGTCGTGCCGCACCATGTCGCCGAGAAACTGCTGCGTCACATAATACTGCGCCAGTAGGTTCGTTTTAATCACCAGATCCAGGTCCTCCGGCTTGGCCAGCAGAATCGGCGAGCTCCTTGCCACGCCCGCATTGTTGAACAGCACCGTCGGATGGCCCACCTCCTCGCGCACCTTGTCTGCCATTTCCCTGACCGCGTCCGAGCTGGTCAAGTCGCAGTGATAAAAGTGCACCGTCGTGCCGGCGGGCGGCTCCCACTTGAGCGGGCCGACGTCGACGACTACCACGACGGTCCGCGGGTTGCGCCGCACAAACTCCTGCGCGACCGCCGCGCCGATGCCGCTGCTGCCGCCCGTTATCAACACGATCTCGCGGTCAAAGTCCCATGTCGGGTCCTCGACCCAATTATTGCTGCTTTTCTGGGTGAGCCAGCTGCTGAGAGCGTAGGCCGACGTAAGCAAGGCGACGACCCATGCTGGGCGGCGCAGGCCCGCGAGGTGGACGGCCGTGAATCGTAACAGGCGGGTGGCGGTTTCGTTGTGCAGAAGCGTGCGAAGGACGGCGGGCGCGAAGCGGGCAAGGAGCGGCTCGAGGGAGAGGCCGAGGGCGAGGGGCAGGGCAGTGCGGTGGTTGACGGCGCGGCTGACGGAGCCGAAGACGGCATCAATGTTGAAGCCCTCGCGGTTGGTAAACATGACGGCTAGCTTTGTGTGGGAGACGGACGGGTCGCAACAATGACCAAGGTAGGAAATCGAAAGAGCCTCAAAAAGAAGAAATTTGGCGATTTAAGTAATGGGATACTTGACTGGCTTTCGAACATGGTTCGAACCTTCCTGCGACGCAAAAGTACCCACGTCCAGTCTCAGTTTGTACAGGCGGCGCTGTACTATAGACAGGGCCCTGGGCTTTAATGGCTGCTTTTCTTCTGGTACAAGATCTTGAGCACTAGAACAAGTCGGCATGCGAGCCGGGAGCTCCGGCAAGAATAAGCTCGAGACATGCTGCTGCACGGCCGCACACGTCAGAGCCGCGTACGGCTTCTTACTTGATGTGGAAGCGGAATTCGCTGCGAATCCGTTGGAATTGGCGCTCAGTCTCACCTTTTCTCAACCCTATTCATCTGCGTCTGCGCGGCCATTCTCACTGCACCGAGTTTTCTGAGTAAATTTTTCAAGATCCACCAGTGAGAGCAACTGCGTCATTTTGCGATGAGCTCCAAGGCCAGCCCGGGACCTGGTCGTTCCTGGGCTACATGTTCGTCATGTTAGAGACCCTCCCAGCCGGGGCCAACAGCTTTGCGACACTGTACTGGTCAACGATTGAGCCGTCTTCCATTTATCTGATCCACAGAACATGTCTCTTCAGGGCCTAGGTAGGCTGAGGAGGCTCCAGCAAATTGGACCCCTCGCTGTCCTCTAGATGGACGTGGGTTCTCTTTTTGGGCCTAGCACATTGGCGGGCTTGATTAGCACGCGAGAGTTGCGCCGCTGTACCAAGACTAGTTAACTGACTAGTTAGTTAATTAGTTGGTCTCAAGAATACAAAGCCGCCCCCCACACAGATCCAAGCAAGCCATGCTTGCCATGGTACGGAGAGGAGAGCCATGCCAACTGAGTCGAGCGGACCTCGGCTACTTCACAAGTTTATTACCCCGTACCCGGTGCGCCAGCCATTCGTGTGCCTAGGCGATCAACAAGCTCCAGGGGTTTGATGATAGAAAACTGACCTGGACGTCTCACCTCGCCGAGATTCTGCTTCTTCCTTTTGATTCTATCTTGCTTCTCCATCTTGCCTTTTTTATTCTTACTCAGCCGCAGAACACGTCGTGAAGCGTTCTTTTAGCGTCTCTACTACCTTGCCTGTCACCGACGCCTCGGCATACGCTTGTGCGACCACACCACCCGATTCGAGACGGTAAACCCCGGCCGAAATCCGTCCACCATGGTAAGCTGATGCGCGTGCAAATCATTGGAGGAGAGACGCTTTGAGACGGTCGGATGGATTGCGCTCTAATTGAAGTTGCGAATACCTCAGAGAGAAATTTTTTTCTTCTCGAAAAGAAACCACATCTGGTCGAAACTCGACTTAAACAAAGGTCAATGAAGCCGAGGTTGACGATGCAATGTAGGCTCCTTTCCCGAGCAAACCCAACATGAGCGTTGGTGAGCGCCTGACCATGATCCTCAAGCTCCTCACCATCTGTACGTCACTACGCCCGGCTGCGCGCCACTAATCTCGTCTCTCGTCGCTGACCCTGGCCCGCGCTCTCACCCTGCAGTCCCCGCGAGCCTGGCCCTCAACATCCTGCGCATGCTGGTGCTGTCCGTGACGCACGGCATGAAGCTGCGCTCCGCGTTCCTGGCCGCCGTCGTGCGCACCACCTTTGGCATCCTGACGGGCAAGGAGATTCAGAAGCTGCAGCCGACGACGCGCCAAGAGTATGGCAAGTTTATCAAATACGCGGCCAAGCGCTGGAACGCGCCCAACTTCAAGAGCCGCGTCGTCTACGACGTGCAGGAGCTCGACAAGGATGTCGACGACTCGGCCATCCTATGGCTCGGCGACCGCAAAAAGGCCAGAAAGGTGGTCCTCTTCCTGCACGGCGGCGGCTACGTGCTGCCGGCCTCTGACGGTCACTTCTTGTGGGCCTGGAACACCTACGTCATGTCGGGCGTCGAGGCCGGTGTCGAGACAGCCGTCGCCTTCTTGCAGTACACGCTCGCCCCGCGCGGTGTGCTGCCCATTCCCCTGCGGCAAAGCGTCGCCGCGTACGAGGAGGTGCGCGCGCAGGGTTTCTTGCCGCGTGACATTATCGTCGGCGGCGACTCGGCCGGCGGTAACCTGACGATGCAGTTCCTCGGGCACGCCCTGCATGCACAGCCGTCGGTTCCTGAGATCAAGCTGTCGGAACCCTTTTCCGCCGCCTTTCTCGTCTCGGCCTGGCTCGGCCTGAGCGACGACACCGAGTCCTTCCGCATCTTTGGCAACAACGACATGGTCAGCTCGGCCATTGTCCAGAAGCTGAGCGTCGAGTCGGTCGAGCCGCACAAGCGCGCCACCGTCAAGTCGCTGTCGGACCCCTGGTCGCGCCCGCTCGAGGCCGACTTTGGCTGGTTCCAGGATTTTGACACGGTGGTGTCCAAACTTTATGTGACGTACGGCGGCCGAGAAGTCCTGCGCGACCACAGCCTGGCCATGATTGAGACCATCAAGCGCGAGGCCCCTGGCGTCGACCTTCTTACGTACGAGGCCCCCAAGGAGCTTCACGACGGTGTTCTGGTTGAGCATCTTTTCAAGAATCCCAGCGTCAACGCCAAGAAGATGAAGACCTGGTTCAAGGGTGTCATTATCCAATGAGCAACAACGGGGTACTGAGTTTTGGTTCGCATGACATGGTAGGCTTTGTTATGTACTCGAAAGGCGTATCGGTTTTACGTAGATATGTATTTTGAAATATCGATTTCACACATCATATACTGTTGCCTGATGCGGCGCAACATTGGTCAACAAGACTGGTGGCACGAGATGCTATGGCCCATCCAATTTTGAATCCGTTGGGCCCGGCACCGTAGCAGTGAACGATAGACATGGACGACAGCTCATTATCAAGACTGTCTTCCGAAGGTAGATTGAAGGTAATCACTTCCTTTTCTAGGCGTAGCCCGCCCTTGCGCATTGGTATGCGGCCGATATAAGCCTGCCGGACGTTGATGGCCGGCGGTAAAGAGGAGTCGTCTGCGGGGACTTGTAGAAGATCTGGACAGACGGCTGCAACGCGCCGAAGGATCTTTTCAATGGCCAATCGTGAATTGTTTGGTGACCAGTTGTGCGGCTCTATTGTTCCGCCTATGACGGTGCCCCCAAAAGGACGAGGAATGACGACAGTAGTATGGCCATCGGCAGAGTGGTGAGAGACTGTCGAGTGGTAGCTGTTTGATATGAGCATGTACTGGCTACGCGTTGGGAAGCATTTCGTGTCGCCAAAGCCAGTTCCACTCGCATTGACAACGATTTTGGGCATTGCCATGTCTGGACGGTGTTCTTGGGCCACGAATGCCGCCTCTTGTAAGGCGCCAAGCCTCGAGCGTACAAAGATGGCTCCGAGCGACTCTGCCTGGCCCTGAAGCCATCCAAGATAGGTTGGAGTGTCAATGACCCAGGCAGAGTACGTCAGTCCAGCCTTGATGCTTTTGGCCGTCCCTTCTGTGGGCATTTCATCAGGCTCCAGCAGGCGATACTCTGGCCAGACAGCAAACATGTCCAGCTCGTCCTCTGTGGGCGTCGTGTCAAAGTACTCTACGGCTGTGATGAGTGCCACACCCGCATCCTCAATGTCGGGATCATCAGCGATGCGCTTGAGCTCCTCGTACGTCTCGAGCATCATGGTGTTTTCGAAAGCGTCTTGCTTGGTCTCGACAGGGACGGGCCGAAAGTGTGCGCCAGCGCGAGGGGAGGCATAATCGATATCCCAGTCGCCCGGAAGCTCTCGCGCGACAACCGTGACGGGATACCCGCGGCGGATCAGGTGCAGGGTGATGGACAGGCCAATGACACCGGCACTGCATTGTCCGATGAGGTCAACGAGCGGCCGCGGAAACGATACGAAACTACATACCCGATTACTGCGACGTGATGTTTCGAGGTCTTCTGAGTGACCTCGGATTGTGATAATCCGGGCCTGAAGCCTTGTGGCCTATCTGATCTCGGAACATACAGGCCGTTGCGTGTGATGAAGCGGTCAACCCAGCGTGATGTGACAAGATCCAAAACGTCCGAAGACCGAGCTCGAATTATCCTGTTAGCCGCGTCCGAAATCCATTGTTTCGGCGTGGGGACATTATTATCATTGAGCCTCCGGATCTCGGAAGAAAGCTCTTCTTCTTCTTCTTCCGTGAGCTTTGTATTGGGGGCGCGCCGCCCCTCCTTCTTTGGCGTGATTCCATCAAGCCTTCGTCGGAGGGTCCCACGCGTGACGCCAAAATTTCGTGCCGCTGTGGCCACTGCAAATCCAGGATTCTGCACGAGAAAATCTAGACATTTTTTGAGGCGATCCTCGGCGTTGGAACCAGTTTGCTCCATATTACATGCGGCCTTGAGCACGCAGACCGTGAAACCTGAGAGGCGGCCGCGATGGTGAGGTGGCCGCTTCGGTGTGCGACTAACCCGCAAATTGAGAGCAATATTATTAGTCATCATCTGGCTTGCGGCCACCCAACCCAGCCAAGGGGCCTCATCAAAACCATACACTGGTTATGCCTTTGTGTATCAATCAGACTCTTTGTAGCTGTCTCATCTTGCTCTAGACGCGTTGCGCGTATAATGATTGTTTCCTTCTCTGCTCTCAGAGAATGACAACACAAGGCCGTACGAGCATACTCGAATGTTTTGTCTCATCGTCTCACCCTTGGGATTCATCGACTTTCATTTCCTTTCTCCTACTCCGAGCAGTGGGTGGCAACAAGTGTATTCAACGCTCGTGGACGCTAGCAGCGGCTGCTCTTCATGGCCCTTGATTCAAGCAACTCGGGCATTGCTTATCCGGTTTGATGGACTGCGCCACGTCGACATTTGCATGAAGCCGGTCTCGGGTGTGGTTACAGCCGCCGAACGACCGAGCCACGAGCCACGCCGCCGCAAACCCTCTACGCTCAAGGATATCAAGCTTTGCTTTTCCTGAATGCGAAATAAATCCCTGTTGTCGTTTGTCATGGATACGGGCGGCTATCTGAAATCATGCAGTTCCCTGACAACTTTGATTCGCAACGTTTGGCTACCCACCACAACCCTGTCCAATAACGCTCGTGGGTGAGGCGTCTCTGAGTATACTGCATGTGCATGGACTACGGCCGCGCATCTTGACAAATAGAATGCACTTTCGTAACACTCGACTATTGTGTTCTGCAATTTGACAATCTCTTCGACATTGGCTCGTATCATTGTGTCAGTAGGTATACGTCCGTAGTGGCGAGATTTGCGGGTTGGCCTTCTCGAAAAGGCAGCTTGTCGAATGTGGCTGGCCCTTGATTGTAACCTCATTGCTACCACCTTTTCTTTGTGGTAATGATCTCATGGCTGTTGATGTTGACCGCTCGCTAATGTTCAAGAGGTCAGCCAGTGCTACGTATTATTGCCATTGTCGGCAGCGCTCTTAGCCATCAAAGCTCAATCACACTTCTTGGTTGGTCTAGCAGCTTTCCGACAAAGAGCTATAGCTGAGGCTCACCTGCCTCCGCTACAGAAACCGGCCATAGGGGACAGCGCTGACAGGTGGGCTGGTGGGTTGTGTTCATCCATGGCCAAATATAGCATATACAGACGGTCGCCAAGATTAATGGCAAATGCTTGGTATTTTAAGCGTCGAACTTGATGTAGGTTTCGGAAGTCCAAAGATTGGTGTCGGACAGTTCAGAAAAAGCAAGTCCAGGGCTGATCGGCGCTGGTGCAGGCGACGTTTGTACTTGGTAGCGCCGCGTTCTGGGGACGGACGGGTTTACTGTACAAGACACAGAAGACACAGAAGCTGGCTGTGTCTATGATTTTGAGGAATCGGAACAGGAGTCAATAACGGCTGATGATGGGCGCGAAAAGTCTTGAAGCTGCTTTTGCAGCAGGCACCGATATTGTACATGTAAAAAAATGTCTTGACACAACCCTGGTAGGCAGAGACTGCGACGGTCGCCAGCTGGCAGCTGCGCTGGCAGAATTTGAGGTGACAGCTGGCAAGCCAAAAACGCCAATAACCTCACCCCCCAAAACAACGTAGTGTCTGCGCACACCTTCACAAGAAGTAGGTTTATCATATTTGTCATTACAAACTCAATACTCTGACTTGTTCTTCCGACCGAAACGCGGGGACTGCCAGGGGTGTCTCTTTATTGCATAGACAGACGAGATGGGAGACAAGATGACAGGCAGGCCCCATCACCACGATCCAGTCCGCCAGTAGCCGGCCACAGCCTGGTGAAAACAAGGAACAATGCTTGCTGACTGCGCTGTCTGGTCAATCAGAAGGCACCATTTCTGGTCCACCGCGACGCCAAAACACCTCTGGCTCCTCCAATGCGTGCTGTCAGCCTGTCACCTGTTGCACAGTCGGTTTGGGGCCGCTGCGACGCTACGTATCTATCGCCATGCATTGATTTGATGCGCCCCATCCTGATGCTGACGCTAAGGGAAGATGGGAATTGGGTCGGGGCCAATAGTTGCTTATTCTTAAGTAACCTCATCCCCGGGTTGCGGCTCGAAGGATCTTGTCTGTTATCATTTTGTCTTTGTTTCGGCGCATTTCGATGGATGTTGCATGCCGGCCTGGAGACTGCTCTTGACACCGATTCGATTTGAGCGCGGGGCTCGCAGTACACCAGCTTTTGAAATTCAAACGCCTTGGCCGCACCGTTTCAGTGACTGGACATCGGACGATTGACGGCAAATATCCGTACACAACACGCATATAACGACGGCAATAAATTATCACCGTCATGCGCTTGTCCAGCGCCAACCTGGCCGCCGGGCTTGTCTTGGCTGGTCGAGGTGTCGCAACCACAGCCGAGAAGGTCGCCCAGGCTGACAGCAACCCTGGCTATCTAGCCGTACCAGTCGGCATAGTACCGCGAACGCATCGCATCGAAAAGCGAACCAAGAATGCCAATGCCATCCAGACGACGTTGGAAAATATGAACTTTTTCTACGCTGCACAAAGTACGTTGAGTATGCTTTGTGCACGAGCGTGTATAGTTGCTCATCGCACAATTATCCACCCAAGCTGCGTATTACATCTGAGATGCTTAAAAAAACATGACGGCTAACAAAATTTGCTTCCCATGAAGTTGGTATCGGCACTCCGCCCCAAAAAATCACTCTTCTCATTGACACGGGTTCAAGTGAATTATGGGTGAATCCAGACTGCCGGACAGCGCGACCACAAGATGCTCAGCTATGCGCCCAATTTGGTCAATACAACCCTCGCAAATCGCAGACCCCGCCATTGGGACCATTCGGAAAGGAAGAAATTCGTTTTGGTGACACGACAGACGAGTCAACACTGACATCTGTCAAGCTTACATATTTTACTGATAAGATTGCGTTTGGCTCATTGTCCATCGAGAACCAGACTTTTGGCGTGGTGACGGAAAGCAAGCGCCAGTCGCAAGGCATACTAGGCCTCGCACCGGACTTGCGCGCGGGTTTTGATGGCGACGAGCCGTATAGCCTGGTGTTGAACAGCATGGCCAAACAAGGGGTAATAGCCAGCAGGGTGTTTTCTCTGGATCTGCGCCACTCGGATACGAAGACTGGCGCCCTCATCTACGGCGGACTCGACCGAAGTAAGTTTGTCGGCACGCTGGAAAAAGTGCCCATCATCAAAGGCCTGCAGGGCGAGACCCGACTGGCCGTGTCGCTTGACACGCTGGGCATCACCATGTCGCAAGAGAAAAATTATAGGCTGCAGGGCAACGACACGAATGTGATGCTCGACTCGGGCACAACCATTTGGCGACTGCAGGCCAACGTGGCGATGCCTATCCTGAAAGCGCTGCGCGCCCAGTCGGAAGGTAATGGCTACTTCTATATTCCGTGCTCGGCCAGAAACCAGCAAGGGTCGGTGGACTTTGGGTTTGGCGGGACGACGGTCAGGGTGCCGTTCAAAGACTTTATCATCAACGTCGGGGATCCGTACACGTGCTACGCGGGAATTGCCCTGACGGGCGGGCAGCAAATTCTGGGCGAGACGGTGCTTCGGGCCGGATACTTTGTCTTTGATTGGGACAACAAGGCAGTACACATTGCGCAGGCGGCCGACTGCGGCGACTCGGACATTGTGAAGGTTGGCACGGGCAAGGATGCAGTACCATCTGTGACGGGCAGCTGCGCCGCGTCGCAGATTCTCTCAGCCACGAGCAAGGCGGTGCAGACTATTCCGGTTGACGGCGGTGACGAAGCCAGCGCAGCAGCAACGACATACACGGTAACGGAGTGCCCTGCATTTGACCCCAAGTGCCAAACGGAGATGATCAAGACAGCGACTGCGCAGGCTACTCCGACTGAGAGTAGCGGGGAGGGTGAAAACGGCGGGAGCGGAAAAGACAGCAGTAATGGCGACAAGAAGAATAGCGGAGGTGGGCGGTATGGAGCGGTAGGGTGGCTATTCGCAGTGCTGTGCTCGGTGAGCACGGGCAGCATGATAATTGCATTGTCTTGATGGAAAATGATTTCATTGTGCATTTATGGGATAGCGATGGCTGGGATAAGCGGAAATTTGTTCAATTTGTTGAAGCATCTGTATTATGCGTTTGACATGCATAATGAGGTGGGGGTAGAAGCGCGTCCGGGTCAAGGCGTGCCTGTATATATACATGCATAATCTTGTAATCGTTGGGACAGACAGGACGATATTCTTGGATTGAATACATCACGCAAGACACCAGTTGAACTAGCTCGTCGTTGGTGATGATAACTACGTCAAGGGTCGTGTGCCTGAATTGTAACCAGGCGTGCCAGGCCCGTCGGGACAACGTCATTGCCGTTGTGACGAAGTAATTACTGGAGACGGCGTAGATTCCGCGCTCAGGTAACTAGGGGATCGGAGCAAGAAGTCGGAGGGCTAGCTGCAGGGACCGGGAAATTCATACATACGATGAGCCTGGAAAAGAAGATGTAAAATCCGATTCTGTCCGTTGAACTTGCCACTCGGACGGACTTTTTTATTTTACCCCATGCATGCACTTGTCTCTCGGAGCAAAAAAGAGCAGAGTTTTTTGCGTTATTACTTGTAACAATAGAGCGATTGCTTGTTAATGGCCGCGGCCCCACATAAAATCTAGCAAAGATCCTCGGCTGTGCGGAATCTTTTGTGCAGGACAGAAAAGCCAGCAACTCAGCTCTCCAGACTCCACCAAGATTTGCTCCGGAAGCGCCAATGCCGCTAAAACTTTAGTCTCCAAGGTTCAGGTTGTCGCAAGACAACGGGGGGGCGCGGGGGAAACCCTTGGGGAAAACCAGCCAGTGCGCAGCAGCTTTCGCAACTCTCTCTTTCTTATCCTCGTCGTCCTCTTTTTCATCTTTTTCCTCATTTCTTCCAAGCCCTTTCTTGTGTAATTCTCATTCCCGCGCCGGTTGCTCCGTCTCTACATAGTACCATCTCGGTGACCCTCATCTCCGCAAACGCATCCCCCCCATCTCACCCGCGCGCCCTCGGCTCAACCGCCATCATGGTCTTTCAGCCGCCTTCCTGGGTCCCGGCCCTGCCAGGTACGTTGATTTCGCGCGAGGTCATTGCCGCCGTTGTCCTCCTCTCACGATGGGGGCACTCCCCCCCTTTTCCAAAACTATAGTCATGGCTTTTCGCCCTTTTCTCCGGGGCAACTACCTACCTCGTTACGCAGACAGCCCGCCGCTAACATCATCCACTATTACCACCACCCACCTGCAGACATTCCCGACAGCGTGCCCCTCTGCGAGTTCATGTACAATGAGCGCTACGGCCGGTACAGCGCCTCCAAAGCCCGCAACCCCTACACCTGTGGCGTCACCGGCACCACGTACACCACCGAGCAGGTTCCCGAGCGCGTCGACCTGCTCGCCCGTGCCATTGCCAAGCGCCTCGGCTTCAGTCCCAACGAGGGCACCGAGTGGGACAGAGTCGTCGCTGTCTACTCTGTCAATACGGTGCGCGCGCCTTTCCCAAAAAAAAAAATTCTGGATTTGTCTCTCTTGTATTGGTGTCGCATCAAGATTTCTGTTCCGCTAACATGCCCGCGCCGCCCCGCCGCCGCCTTAGATCGACTACATCCCCGTATCCCATGCCGTCCACCGCCTCTCCGGCATCGTCACCCCCGCCAACGCCCAGTACTCGGCCGCGGAACTCGAACACCAGCTCGTCTCGTCCGGCGCAAAGGCCGTCTTCACCTGTCTGCCCCTGCTCGAGACCGCTCTCAAGGCTTCCGACGCGGCCGGCATCCCCCGCTCCGCCGTCTTCCTGCTGCCCGTCCCCGGCGGCAAGCCGCATCCCGATTTTCCCTCTGTAGATGACCTCGTCGCCCAGGGCCGGTCGCTGCCCGCGCCGCCCCCGCTTTCCTGGATCAAGGGTCAGGGCGCCCGCCAGACAGCCTTTCTCTGCTACTCGTCTGGCACCTCTGGTCTCCCCGTACGTTTTTTTTTTTGGCTCCTCGCTTCGCTCGCGGCGTGAGATGGAACGAATTCAAATTTGTGAACGCAAACGTGGCTAATGAGATGGAAAAATGTGTAGAAAGCCGTCATGATTTCCCATTTCAACATAATCTCCAACATTGTCCAGATGACGCTGCTGCAGAGTGTCGGTCGCAAGCACGAAAATGTCGACACCGAAAACGTCCTCGGCATCCTGCCCCTCAGCCACATCTACGGTCTCACCGTCGTCGCGCACGTCTCCCAGTACCGCGGCGACCAGCTCGTCATCCTGCCCAAGTTTGAGCTTCCCCTCTTCCTCCGCACCATCCAGGACTACAAGCTCAGCTTTCTCCCCGTGGTGCCCCCCATGCTCATTCAGCTCATCACCAACAAGCAAGTCGTCGAAAAGTACAACCTCGACAGCGTCCGCTGCGTCTTTTCCGGCGCTGCGCCTCTCGGCATTGAGACGCAGGAGACTGCGAACAAAATGTTTCCCAAGTGGAAGATTGGTCAGGGTTACGGTGCGTTTTCTCGTCCCCCTTTATCTTTTCCTTCCTCTTTTCTTCCTCCTCCCTTTAGTCCTTTTCTTCCTATTCTCATTGCAGCATTGTATATCGACACTTTTTTGCTAACTTTCACCTCAAGGCATGACTGAAACTTCCCCCGTCGCCACCGCCAGTAGCGAAATTGACCTTGTCCCCGGCTCCTCCGGCGGTCTCCTCCCCGGCTACAAGGCCAAGCTCATCGACGCCGAGGGTAACGTTGTCACCGGCTATGACCAGCGCGGCGAGCTGCTCCTCCAGTCACCCTCGGTCGTCCTCGGCTACCTGCACAACGAAAAGGCAAACGCCGAGACGTTTGTCCACCACGCCGACGGCCGTTGGATCCGCACCGGCGACGAGGCCGTCGTCCGCAAGTCTGCCAAGGGCAATGAGCACATTTTCATTACAGATCGCATCAAGGAGCTCATCAAGGTCAAGGTACGAATTTTCTTTTTTCTTTTTTTTTAGTATTAGGCAAAAACAGAAGAAGAAGAAGGAGAAGAAGAAGAAAAAGAAGAAAAAGAGGAAAGAGGAAAGAGGGGCAAAAAAGACGGAAAGAAAAGGAGCAAGACGAAGAAGCACATATTTCTTAGATCAACAACGCTAACCCCGCCCAGGGCTTCCAAGTCGCCCCCGCCGAGCTCGAGGCGCACCTCCTCACCCACGACTATGTCCACGACTGCACCGTCATCCCCGTCGACGACGACCGCGCCGGCGAGGTCCCCAAAGCCTTTGTCGTCAAGTCGCCCGCCGCCGTCTCCTCGGGCCAGCCCGACGCCGCCATACGCCGCGCCGTCGAGGAGCACGTGGAGAAGCACAAGACAAAGTACAAGTGGCTCAAGGGCGGCGTCGAGTTCATCGACGCCATCCCCAAGAGCCCCAGCGGCAAGATCCTCCGCCGCGTGCTCAAGGACAAGGAGAAGGCGGCCCGCAAGGCTCAGGGCGCTAAGCTGTAAAAAGACGAAAAGGGGCCGAAATGGGGAGAGATGAATGTGATTGCGAATAATGTATACAGTTGAAATGGCAATGTGTTGAGAATAGACTCTAGTTTTTCCTTGTCAAGTCATATAGTAGATTTTCCTACGCCTGTAAATCATTTAAGGTCAACTTTACTGCTTGTTCCTGTCAATCACGTCCGTTTACAATCATCACTTAGAGGCACAAAAGTATATAGTAAAACCAGCCAGGTAGGTATTAATTAAGTCCTCCATATTAGAGAACACTTCATAGAGTTAAGGATCGTAAGAATTAAAAACAATATCGGGTCCATTCTTGTTGTCCTACTTTTTGGGTAGTCAAAAGCATCCCAACAAAAACGTCTTTTGTGTGCGTCCAAATGACATCCTCAATAAAATAACAAAAACATACACTATTAACATTCGAGTCCTGTCGCTACTTACAGAGCAGCAACAAGGACCATGGCGACGGCTCCGAGAAGACCGGCCTGAGCCTTGCCCGCACCGTTGACGGTGGGGGGAACAGAGCCAGAGGGAACAGTGGGGACGCCGGTGCCAGTGGACAGGCCGGGGCCGACCGGGGTGGCGGGCGGCTGGACGCCAGTAGGGACCTCACCGCCGCCAGGCTGAGCACCGGGAGGGACCTCACCGCCGGGCTGGGCACCGGTAGGGATCTCGCCGCCGGGCTGGGCGCCGGTAGGGGCAGGCTCCTTCTCAGCGGGGGGTGAGAAGGTGACCTGGGGCACGGGGATCTGGGTGTTGATAACACGGGTGGTGCTGCTTTCGGTGATGGTAGTGGAAACGGTGATGGTGGTGACGCCGCCAGTGGGCTGAGCAGTAGGGGTGGCAGTGATGATAATGGTCTCGGCACCAGTAGCAATGTTAGGGTTCTCGCCAACGTGCTCAGCGCAAATGCCCTGGAAGAAGTTGATGGCATCGGCGACGTTCTGGTCGCTACCGCTGTACGCGCCCAGGCAACCAAAGACTTTGTCGGTGAAGTTGCTGTTCTTGCAGTAGCAAGCGGCATCGGTGTTGTCCTTTTTGCATTCCTTGGCCTCATCCAACCACATCTTCAAGCATTTTGGAACAGATTCGGGGCAAGGAAGAGACTGCGTGGGAACAGGGGGAGAGGTCTGAGTCTCGCCAGGCTGAGTCTCGCCAGGCTTGGTCTCGGAAGGCTGAGTCTCGCCAGGCTTGGTCTCGCCAGGCTGAGTCTGAGTGGGAACAACAGGGACAGTCTCAGTGACGGGGCAGATGGTGGTGCTGACGGGGATGGTAACGGTGACAACATGAGTGCCACCAGGGGTCTTGATCGGGCAAGAGGTGATCTCAGGACCGCAGCTGGTGATTGTCTTCGTAGAGGTGGTGTAGACAGTGGAGGTAGTGTAGGTGGTGGTGACAGTGGCGGGAGGAGTAACAGGAGGAGTAGTCTTCTCGGTGCTGCTAGTTCCAGGAACAGTCTCAAACGGAGGAGTGGTACCGGGAACAGTCTCGAACGGAGGAGTGGTACCGGGAACAGTCTCGAACGGAGGAGTGGTTTGTGTTTGGCGGGCTATGGTGGTAGATGG